TTCAGGTTTAGAGCTTAGGGTTCAGGTTTAGGGTTTAGCGTGTAGGGTTTAGGGTTCCGGGTTTTTGGTTCTGTGCTGTGGGTTTTGGGTTTTAGGTTTTGGGTTTTGGGTTTTGGGCTTAGGGGCTGTTGCGTTCCGTCTTTGAATGGGGTTGGTTAGGGGTCTCGGCTCTGAGGGTTTGCTTGGACATCACCTGGAGGAGTGTGATGTGCTGGTTTCGGGTTTAGGGTTTAGGGCTATTCGGAATCACGTGGCTATTGCAACACTTACACGGCTGGAGCAAGGGCCCAGAAGGACTCACAGTGCAGCACAGAATGAACTACAGCACCTTTAACCCTACACCCTAAATCCAGGACCCTAAATGACAGACCCTAAGCCCTAAACCCTAACAAACCTACCTCCCCAAAGCATCCCACACAACAAGAAACTTTCCTCCACCTTGAACTTTCGACCCTCGACCCTGAACCCTGAACCCTAAACCCTCACAATCATACCCCATATAAATGACAATGGCTTTGCGGGCAAGGTCATATAAAGAGCGGGCATGAAAAGCTGCTCAACTAGTCAATGCTTGGACTTGAGATGCTGAGCCCTAAACCCTAAACCCACCCTAAACCCTAAACCCTAAACCCTAAACCCTAAACCCTAAACCCTAAACCCTAAACCCTAAACCCTAAACCCTAAACCCTAAACCCTAAACCCTAAACCCTAACCCAACCAACCCTGCAACGGTCTGTTGCAGCGTCGATTCACGCGGCGAGGGGGGTCTCAGACCGAAAAACGCCTGGAAAATGTGCCAAGCGCAGAGGCCTTGCAACCGAAACCCAGCTTAACCCTAAACCCTAAACCCTAAACCCTAAACCCTAAACTCTACCAAGTAGGGGCTGCCTTATGCAGTGGGGTGGGGGGGGGGGAGCCAGGTTGTGTCCTGCATAGGTCTTCATGCCTCACTGGGGACGTGAAAGCACCAACATAGAACACATCGAACAATATAATATATATATATATGTATGAAACAGACAAAGATAACTATTTATATATTTCACAAGAAAATGAAGACTTAAAAAAAGAAAATAGTATGATAATAATTATGCCATAGTCTAGCCCCCCCCTTAAGGGACGTTACAAAGAAATAAAAACAGCAAGAATGCATAAGATAATTTAAAATTAAAACCCGTTGGAGTTGAGGGTTCAAGTTGAGAATGTCCAGGCTTAGGGTTTAGGGTTTAGGGTTTAGGGTTCAGTGTTTAGGGTTTAGGGTTTCGGGTTTAGGGTTTTAGGGTTTAAGGCTTGAAGAGGGGCGGGTATTCTGCGCGCAGGGCACCAAGCGCATCGGTTGACAAACAGTACGGGAGCCGGCTGAAAAGTCGATCCTGGCTGGATCTCAGCTGGAGCTTTGGGATCCCTCTCAAGGGTTTAGGGTTTAGGGTTTAGGGTTTAGGGTTTAGGGTTTAGGGTTTAGGGTTTAGGGTTTAGGGTTTAGGGTTAGGTTTAGGGTTTAGGGTTTAGGGTTTAGGGTTTAGGGTTTAGGGTTTAGGGTTTAGGGTTTAGGGTTTAGGGTTTAGGGTTTAGGGTTTAGGGTTTAGGGTTTAGGGTTTAGGGTTTAGGGTTTAGGGTTTAGGGTTTAGGGTCTAAACACGGTCCCTGAAAGTCGCGGTGTTTGGGGCAAACCCCTAAACCCGATTATGGGGTCTAGGAAGGGCGGGGTTTGCATAAAGAAAACTCTTTTCTCTACACATCTGCCCACCGTGGCTGAGAGCCTCCGTTCTCAGGCCGGGGATCCGAGGGAAGAAGGCCCAGAGGGCTTAGGGTTTAGGGTTTAGGGTTTAGGGGGGTTTAGGGTTTAGGGTTTAGGGTTTAGGGTTTAGGGTTTAGGGTTTAGGGTTTAGGGTTTAGGGTTTAGGGTTTAGGGTTTAGGGTTTAGGGTTTAGGGTTTAGGGTTAGGGTTTAGGGTTTAGGGTTTAGGGTGAGAAACCCCAAACCTGGAGGGCTTCTGCCCTAAACCCTAAATCCTAAACCTTGAACTCTGAACCCTAAACCACGCTTTCGTCGAGACAGGGACGGATTCTCAGGCGCATTTTGGGCAACTTCCCTCGGAGGTCGGCCGGCTGTCCGCAGCATTATGCAAAAGAGACCCCGAAGATGGGCCTCCAGGGATATGGCTCAGGGTTCAGGGTTGAGGATTCAGGGTTCAGGGTTCAGGGTTCCGGGTTCAGGGTTTAGGGTTCAGGGTTCAGGGTTTAGGGTTTAGGGGTTACGGTTTAGGGTTTAGGGTTTAGGGCTTAGAGTTTGCTGCGACAGGGTGAGTAGTGAAGGGCGGGATGCAGAGAGGCCTCGAAAGCCTCGTCACACGCGCAAAGCAACTTTGGCCCGATTGTGGAGTCTAAGACTTTTTATCTCACCCCACGCCGTCTCACACAGCAAAACCTTTTCGGGCTTAGCCCCCTAAACCCTAAACCCTGAACCCTAGACCCCTTTATTTACTTCTAGGATGGCCCCAAAAGCCCCCCTAAAAATATATTCCTGAATATGAGCCTGTTAAACCCAACAAGGGAAGGTAACAAATGTCCCCGAGAATTGCATGCTTCCAAAGACTTCCTGCGTCCAGTTTCTTCACAAAGCCCTAAACCCTAAACCCTAAACCCTAAACCCTAAGGGTTGAGGGTTTAGGGTTTGGGGTTTAAGGTTTAAGGTTTAAGGTCGAGGGTTCAGGGTTCAGGGTTCAGGGTTTAGGGTTTAGGGTTTAGGGTTTAGGGTTTAGGGTTTAGGGTTTAGGGTTTAGGGTTCAGGGTTTAGGGTTCAGGGTTTAGGGTAATTCCCAACAAAGGTGCCGGGATTTCAAGGGGGGTCTCCGGTCCTGGGTTCTGATGACCTGGCGGTGGGAGGCGGCGTCGGCGCCGCCCCTCCCCCCCCCCAACACCGCAGCAGGCCTAAGCCGCTTAGCCTTGAGTTTAGGGTTTAGGGTTTAGGGTTTAGGGTTTAGGGTTTAGGGTTTAGGGTTCAGGGTTTAGGGTTTAGGGTTTAGGGTTTAGGGTTTAGGGTTTAGGGTTTAGGGTTAGTTGAAGGTGGTTGACAGGATCCGCCCTCAGCGGCGTCGGAGGAGACCAGATATGCCCCCACCCAGGGAGAGTTGGCGCTGTCCGGCAGCAAGGTGACCGTCCATCACCTCTAGGGTCTTAGGGTTTAGGGTTTAGGATTTAGGGTCTTAAGGTTTAGGGTTTAGGGTTTAGGGGTCTAAGGTTTAGAGCTTAGGCTTCAGGGCTAAAGCTTAGGGGCTTCAGGGGTTAAGGTTCAAGGTCTAGGGCTTCAAAGTTTCGAGTTTTAGGCTTCAGGGTTTGGGGTTTCGGCTTGGGTTTCATTGAAGGGGCAGGGTTGAGGGTAGAGGGCTAAAGGTTTAGGGCTCATTCTGCACCGCACTGGCCTAGACTACGCCCAGCTTGCTATCAGCCCCTTTGACCACTATAAGGCCTTCGAAGCCGTAAAGGGCCTGCGTGCCCAACATCACGAACCCCAAAGCCCAGCCCCAAAAGCCCCTGAACCCTAGACCCTAAACCCTCAACACTCACCCCTAAATCCTGAACCCTAAACCCTAAACCCTAAATCCTGAACCCTACACCCCTCCAACCCAGAAATCACCCCTTTGCAAGCACCAACCTTCGGCCCGAAGCCTACGCCTGCGATTTAGGGGTTGTGGAGTGTAGGGTTTAGGGTTACCCTAAACCCTAAGCCCTAAACCCTAAACCCTAAACCCAGATAGGGCTTTAGGGGTCGCAGGATCTTTTAGAACAAGTGTTGAGCTGATGGTCCTGGATGGGGTCTGGGGGATTTCGCTGAAATTTAGGCTTTGAGGGTTGTGTTGAGGGTGTTGGGGTTGCTGAAGGATTTAGGATTTTGGGGTTCTTAGGGTGTTGGAGGCTTATGGCTTCAGGGTTCCTGGCGTTTGGGGCCTAGAAAACGAGGCCAACAGCAGTCTCATCCCCAATTGTTGTGCGGCTCTCTCATGCTGTGCTCAGGAAAGAGGGGGTTGAATAAACCGTAAACCCTAAACCCTAAACACTGCGTTTATTCTCCGAATGTCCTTGAATTGCGTCTTCTAAGGGAGCCGTGCTGGCAGGGTTCAGGGTTCAAGTGCCGCATGGGCCCAAAGACTCCTGTTCAGGGTTTTGGGGTTTAGGGTTTAGGGTTTAGGGTTTAGGGTTTAGGGTTTAGGGTTTAGGGTTTAGGGTTTAGGGTTTAGGGTTTAGGGTTTAGGGTTTAGGGTTTAGGGCTGGGAGAACCTGACCTTGAACATCTCATGAACGAGTAAGTTGTTCTGGGCGCTCACTTCATGGACAGGCCTTCACCCGTGAGGGTGAACGCCCATGTGCGTCAAGGTCCCCCAAGCCCTGAACCCTAAACCCGAAACCGCGCGCCTAAGCCCATTAAACTTTCCTAACTGTGTTGGCGAACCCGAGACCCTAAACCCTGAACCCTAAACCCTAAACCCTAAACCCTAAACCCTAAACCCTAAACCCTGAACCTTAGGGTCGGGGGCCTCCAGCACCCGGGTCATGTTGTCCTCAAAGGTTTGCAGGGACCTCAGGGGTCGGTCAATCGAATCCTCAACCGCTTTTGGGGTTTAGCGCGTAGGGTTTAGGGTTTAGGGTTTAGGGTTCAGGGTTCAGGGTTCAGGGTTTAGGGTTTAGGGTTTAGGGTTTAAGGTTTAGGGTTTAGGGTTTAGGGTTTAGGGTTTAGGGTTTAGGGTTTAGGGTTTAGGGTTTAGGGTGTAGCATTGGTCAGCTGAACGCAAAAGTGTGAAGACATGCCCACCCCGAGGCCACCCAAACAATACTCATCACGAAACCAAACCGGAGCCAGCCGAAGCCAAGCCAGCCATTCAAATTTCACATATCGAACATGTTCAGAGCACACTAAGATAGAACACTGCGAATGCTTGGGATATTTGCGAGTCGTGAACTCTTGCCGAACTTGAGGCGAGCTGTTGGCGATTTCTTGGGGGGTCATTTGGGGACAGTGGCTGATTGGGACACTAGGAAATCGGAGGTCATCTGGGGCCAGAAGGCAGCATGTCGAGCCTGGGACATATGCGACTTTGAAGGGGTGCCAAGCATGTCCCTTGACGGCAAAGGAGCCCCCCCCTCAGGTTTTGCGCAGGGGACGGTCTGGGCCGAAGGGCCCTCTCACAGAAATTCCAGGGCGTGAAAAGTCCTGGAAGGGTTTCAGGCCCCCCTGCTTACTGGGAAGAGGCTCAGGAACTGTCCGAGGCAGCCCAAAAAGGCCAAAAAAGGTTCAGAACTGTCCGGGAGGAGTCCAAAAAGGTTCAGAAACTGTCCGGAAAGCGCCCAGAAATGCCCAGAAACTGTCCGGGAGGACCCCAACAAGGCTCAGAAACTGTCCAAAAGGAGCTGTCGAAGAAAATGTCCAGGAGAACCCAAAAAGGCTCAGAAACTATCCGGGAAGAGCTCCGAAACTGTCCGGAAGCAGCCCGGAAACTAAAAGGCTCAGAAACTGTCTCAGAAACTGTCCGGGAGGAGCACAACAAGACTGTCCCGGGATGAGCCCAAGAAAGGCTCAGACACTGTCCGGAAAGAGCTCAAAAAGGCGCAGAAACTGTCCGGGAGGAGCCTTTTAGTTTCTGTCCGGGAGGAGCCCGGCAAGGCACGGAAGGGGCCCAAAAGGCTCAGAAACTGTCCGGGAGGGGCTGCCTGGAAAGGCGGGAAGGAGCTGTCGGCGGTTTGGGGACATTTGTCCCAAGGGGCCTCCAGGGGCCTCCAAGGGGCTTCCAGGGGCCTCCACGGCCTTCAGAGGCCTCTACAGAAAGTTTCAGAGGCTTCCAGGCTTGCAGGGGCAGGAGCCTTGCAGGGTCCAGGCGCCTGCAGGGGCCTCCAGGGCCTCCAGAGGCAGGGGCGTCCACGAACCAGTTTTAAAGGGGAAGGAGCCCCCCCCTGGGTTTAGGGTAAAAAGTATATAGCTGAGACGAGCTAGGCGACTCCAGCCAGGCGACTCTCCTCAGGGGTGTGCCTGGCAGGCTCTGCAGCCTAGCAGAGCCTGCCGCAGTCTCGCTGAGCGCTCGACTGCGCCCGCCTACCCCAACAGAGGTGAGAGGGGTGGCGGGCGGGTTTAGGGTTTACGGCTTAGGGCTTAGGGCTTAGGGTTTAGGGCTTAGGTTTTAGGGCTCAGGGTCAGGACCTCCTACTTCCCCCTCCCCCCCCGTGCCCCCTCCCCACACTGCCGGTTTATGGGAGGGCAGGGAGGAACCCTAAGCACCCTAAACACCCTAAACCTAAACCCCTAAACATACTAAACATCCTAAACACCGTAAACATCCCAAACCAAAGAACCTTAAAGCATCCTAAACCCCCCCCCCCCCGCCCCCCAACCCTAAACATCCTAGACCCTAAACCCCAAATTATCTACACCCTGAACCCGAAACCCTAAACCCTGAACCCTGAACCCTAAACCCTAAACCCTAAACCCTAAACTCTAAACCCTGAACCCCAATAAACGCGGCCCAGCCCACATGTTGTGGAACTCCGGCTTGACGCCATCCAGGGGATCGATCGGCGGAAAGGCCGTCATGATCATGGCCTCCAGGGGGGCTTTTGCAGGGGGGCTGTAGGGTTTAGGGTTTAGGGGTTTAGGGTTTAGGGTTTAGCGGTTAGGGTTTAGGGTTTAGGGTTTAGGGGATGAAGGTTTAAGGGTTTGGGGTTTAGGGTTTAGGGGTTTAGGGTTGCCGTAAGGGCCGTTTAGGGTCAGGATCATTCCCTAAACCCTCAACTCATGAGTTTCCCTACTATCCCCCTCTATACTCCCCCCGCTCCCCCCTCAAATAACCTTAATGAAGTCTAATCATCCCTGCATAGCCTTAACTAAGGGTGGAACGCATACCTACTTCCTTATTACGGTGCTGTTCGGCGCACACGTTCTGCGGTTTAGGGTTTAGGGCAAAGGGCTTAGGGCTTAGGGCTTAGGGCTTAGGGCTTAGGGCTTAGGGCTTAGGGCTTAGGGCTTAGGGCTTAGGGCTTAGGGCGGGGGGTGTGGGTTTAGGGCTTAGGGTTGAAGATCTAGATTTTAAGGTGTCGGCTTTAGGGGCTAAACCACTAGCAAACGCCGGGACCACCAGTACCATTCCTTGGCAGCATGGCTGAGGAGGCAAGCGAAAAGAGTGGAGCTGCACAAATTAACCACACACACACACACACAAACACAAACAACACACACACTCGAAGTTGACCTGCGCCCCTACTCCAAGGAAAAACACCCAAATGAAGGGCCGGCTTTATGGGCCGTGTTGTCACATGGCCAAGACCGGATCCCCAATAGGAAGTTAGGTTTGTCAGGGGCTCCAGGCTCGAGCTAGGGTTTCTGTGATTAGACCGAACCCCGAATCCTCGAGTACCCAAGACCTAAACTCTTTCGCTTGAGGGCCAACCCTAAACCCTAAACCCTAAACCCCAAACCCCAAACCCCAAACCCCAAACCCCAAACCCTAAACCCTAAACCCTAAACCCTAAACCCTAACCCCAAAACCCATTACAAATTCGCTGTTGTGAGACCGTCAGCTGCCCTCTGCGGGCTGTGACAATGGGCGGGCATCGTTTGGAGCAACAGTCACGACATAAACTACAAGTAAGCCCTTTGCCCTAGGTCTAGAATTACAGTCCCCCTTTCCACACAACTTCTAGCATGTGCTGCCAGACAAAAAAGGCCGCTAGGATAACTAAACCCTCAACCCTGAACCCTCAACCCTCAACCCTAAACCCTAATTCCTAAACTTCTAGGCCTTGTAGATCGACGATTGCGTTTCCCAGCTGATGTAGCCCGCATCGTCCAGGTAATCGGCAAGCCAGGCGCCCATCTGGTAGGGGCTTTGGGGCTTGGGGGGCTTGGGGGCTTGGGGGCTTGGGGTTTAGGGGTTTAGGGGTTTAGGGGTTTAGGGGTTTAGGGGTTTAGGGGTTTAGGCCTCTAGGGGTCTAGGGGTCTAGAAATCTAGGGGTCTAGGGGTCTAGGGGTCTAGGGGTCCACGGGTCTAGGGGTGTAGGGGTCTAGAGTTTGTTTAGGTCGAGTAAACATCATGATAGATTCGAGTGTGCATCCTGGGGGGGGTGGGTACCAGTGGACTTACTTGTCCAGTGTGCGCCCTGGGTTGCGCACTGGACGCTTAACATGTTCACTGGACCCCACGCGTGTCCAGTAAACGCCGTGTTAAGACTCCAGCGTGTGCTTTCTGTTTTTGTCCCTTCAAACGTGTTCATATGTGTGCTTTTTTAAATGTTATGTCTTCCTATGTTGTTTTTTCCGAACTGCTTCTATACTGAACTTGGAACCCTAGCGAAAATCAATGTGTCTTAGGCATTAAAGGACCTCAAAATTCAAAACTATTTCCGAGTCTCCCTAAGGCTTAGGGTTTCCTGCTCACGCCTTAGGGTTTTCTTTTTGTGCTTCTCTGTTTAGGAATAAAGTTTAGGAAAGGATTGTTTCGTCCCCAACTACAGGGCTCTTTTGGCTTTTCTGTTTTGGAATGTCTGTTTAGGAAAGGGCTGTTTGTCAGCAACTACAGTTTGTCGTTCTCACTGCTTAGTGTTTTCCTTGGGGTTTTCTGTTCAGAACGTTATGCCTTCCTACGTTGCTTTTTCTAACTCCTGAGGGCTTCCTCTTGGGTTTTTGAGGCTGTGCCTTTAAAGGCTTCCAACCTTGTCCACCAGGGCGGGGCCCTGTGCATGTTGCGGCAGCTGGAAAATGCACGCCGGGCTTCCCTTACCTGTCACGCTGCGTGACGCCAGGAAGGAGCCCTTTGCATTTTGTGGCGGGTAGAAAAATGCATGGCGGGCTGTCCCGCAGCGTGAGATCGGGGAAAAATCCTGTGCAAGACCTGTCCATTCCAACATGAAGCTGTGCGTTTTTTGAGGGGCTTAGGGTTTAGTGGTTAGGGTCTAGGATTTAGCAAATAGGGTTCACTGTTTAGGTTACGGGCTTAGGGTGTAGCAAGTGCGGTTTAGGCCTTCGGTTAAATCTCGAGTTTTATCACAGGCAAAGAATGGAATGACAACTTCCTAAAGCCCTCCTAAACCCTGTAATCCCTAAACACCAAGGCCGACAAACAGACCCAAAGGTGCCGCTTACGAATGCCGGAGTTTACGGTTCCCTAAACCGTAAACCCTAGACCCTAAACCCTAAACCCTAACCCTAAACCCTAAACCCGCCCACCACCCCACTCTTGTCTGTTGGGGTCGAGCGCTCAATGAGACCCTGCGAGCGACCGATCACATGGGCCCCTGGCCCTGGTTGTGGCCCTGGCCACTGCCCTGGCCGTGACCTGACCCTCACCCCAAGCTGTCCACGCACGTGTGGAGGTCCCCAAAAGGGCGTGAGTGCTGACCCATGTGGTGCTTTGTAAAAAAAGAAGGCTTTACCTGCACACTACTGCGCGCCTAAACCCTAAACCCTAAACCTGAACCCCGCCTACGAACCCCCCCACCTCCTTCTGCGCCCTTTCACGATCCACCTGGCCAGTGGTCGCTATGAACGTGGCCATCTCTTTCTGCTCCTGCCATCAGACTTTGGGGTTTAGGGCTTAGGGCTTGGGGTTTAGGGCTAGGGTTTAGGGTTTGGGGTTGGGGTTTGGGGTTTAGGTTTTAGGTTTTAGGTTTTAGGTTTGAGGGTTTAGGGTTTAGGGTTTAGGATGTTAGGATTTAGAGTTTAGGGTTTAGGGTTTAGGGTTTAGGGTTTAGGGTTTCGGGCTTTTGGGGCTTCAAGTGGGGTTTAGGGGAGCTCGCAGAGGCTCCAAACCCACCGCTGTGAACCCAAAGCCCAGAGAGCAGCTTGCACCTTCTTTGCGGCTTACTTAGTACGAAGGGCCTCTGACATGCGAGTCTTCGAGCAGACGCGCGATCTGTAGAGGAGCGCATGCTCATTTAGGGTTTAGGGTTTTAGGGTTTAGGGTTCAGGGTTCAGGGCTTAGGGTTTAGGGTTCCCTTGGCCGCAGATTGCTGTTGAACTCGCTCCCCTCACCCCTAAACCAAAAACCCTAAACCCTAAACCCTAAACCCTAAACCCTAAACCTGTTGTTCGAGACCTTCTCTCTTTTCTTCGCAAAGTCGCGGCTTCTGCGGCATTTGCAGCACCAGCACCGACACCGGCACCGGCACCAGCACCAACACCAGCACCACCCCCACCCCCAGCACCACTACCACCGACGACCCACCGATCTACCCACCGACCCACCGACCGACGACCCACCGACCGACCGACCAACCCACCCCACCCACCCACCCACCCGCTGACCAACTCACCCACCCACCGACCCAACCAACCAACAAACAGACAACAACACAACCATGCTCAGCTGAACTCAGCCTCTTTGGAGATCCGCAGTCCGACTTGTGAAAGCCGGACACTGGCTGGGTGCGCCCCGGCTTGCGGACCTACTTCAAGGCGCACTCAGTGTCTTTAGGCACTGTAAGCTTTGGGCGTCGTCTCTGCGCACGTGCAAGAGGTTCGGCAAAGTGACGGCCTGCGACGAGAGAAGGCAGTGAAACATCACCAGAATCACTGGGCCTCTGGTATCCGAGGCCTCCCCTGTGGCAGAGTTGGTGATAGGCAGAGGCGTGCAGGGCTTATGCCTTGCATCTGAAACTGCTTCTTGCTTTCGGTGTAAGCGAAATAGGGGCCCTGCGGAGTGAAGTACCAAGCCATGGCGTCGATCGTCTTTCCGCCTTGGTGCCGAGCATTCGACGTCTTAGGCTTCGACTTTGACCCTGTCAGCCTTGCATCCGTTAGGTATGGACTGCTTGGATCGAGGACTTTTTACGCGCGCACGGCTGTTAAAAATCCTGAGCCGAGCGCAGGCTCTTGAAAGTTCCCGTGCCTGCAGCGCCGATCCAGCCTAGAGCTCTACGACTCTACGAGTTGCATGATCCATTGCATGATCATGAATCACCACTGCTGCTTGAGGACGGGGGACTCGACCCGCTTTCTCCGGTAGGGGGATCGCTGGCTGCGTCAGCCTCAGGAGGCGCCGGATCCGCTAGCGCCGTCGTCTGCGGCCCGCCACCTTATGTGTTTAATTTGAGCTCGAGTGCGACACTGCGGTTGAATTATAAGAAGGGTTCCTAGGGTTATTGGAGCACAGGGACCGCCGCCAAGCATGCCATCGCCCTCATGCAGGTACTGCAGCGGGCCGATCGGACCCGGCTCGGTCACAGGGCCTGGGACCAATCAGGGTCGAGGATATCGAGGAGATTTAAAGGTGTTGCAGGATCTCGAGCATGACATATATTTTCCAGGCCAAGGCACCACCAACATCTGGCATCACGCCTGGCTCACTGACGCGCAAAACGAAGAAGGGTCAAAAGCCAAAAGCTCTTGCACTTTCAACTCGGAGCAATGAAAACGAGCAGCGGGGCTGGCACTTGCAGTATCTCACGTGCAAGCGCCAGTGGCTTCAGTGCTTCCTCAAACTTCCCGTGCGCTGACGTGCATGCGGGGCCGCAATCCTCGAATGTAGCCGCTAAAGTTAAAGTGGAGGGACGTGGGATTGAAATGGGACGATGTAACACCCATTTTCTTAAGTACATGATGCGTCATGTGTCTGATGATGTAACCCTGTTTGGGCAGAAAGGTGGAGGCACGTCCGAGCAGTCAAGAGTAAGCAAAAAAAAGCCTCGTTTGAGCCTCTCACAATTGCGAAATGATAGGTCGAAGACAAAATTTGCAAAAGACTCGTGAAGTTCGAAGCTGCTTGGTGCATCTGATGGGGGAGGCAGGTGGGGGGGGGGGGGGGGGTCGGGGGGCCGCAAAGGGCGGGGGTGGTGGTGTGGGGCGGGGGACCCCCAACTGGCTAGATCGAACGTAGCACGTTTTTCACACAGCCAGCTCGATCTGCCGAGGATAACTGGCTGGCTCTTAGTGCATACTTGTTGGTGATGACGGACCTAACAGAGGGTCTAGGGTTGAGGGTTTAGGGTTAAGGTCTGCTACACGTTCTACCTTTGAAAGATCACTTAATTTTTCAGACCCGGTCTCCTAAACCTTTTCTTCTCACACTTACACCCGGTTTTGGATGTGATGACACCGCCGCGAAGCCAAAACTCGCAAAGCAGAGCTTACCACGCAAGGAAGACGTAAAATCTTTCGTTTGCTCAACACCATCAATTTTGTGGGCGGAGGTTGACCGCAGCGGCTCTAAGCACTTGCACACAGTTTTGTCACGAGGGTTTCGGAACGTTCGCGCAGCTGTCGGAACCCTGAATTATCGCCCCTCCCGACGACCCAAACCCCGACTCTACAATGGGATTCTGCCAAGATATGCAAAATAGGTGTGGAGGCTGAGGGTTTTGGGGTTTTAGGGTTCAGGGGTTGAAGGATAAGCATTTTCTTGTCAGGACTTTCAGGGAACTTGAGCGAAAATGCTGGTATGGTGAAGAGCGCTGCTTTTTGCCCTGGAACTCCGGTGACCACGTCCGCCTTCAAACCTCCCTAACCCTAAACCCTAAACCCTCAACCCTAAACCCTAAACCCTAAACCCTAAACCCTAAAACGCCCCAACTCGAGGGTTCTCACATGGTTTGGGGGATTTGGGATTGCTGGGCTTAGGGTTTGGGGCTTTTGGAGTTTAGGGGTAACCCTAAACCCTAGCCCTAAACCCTAAACCCGAAACCCGCAACCCGAAACCTTAAACGTTCGGGTGGCTTAGGGTTGGTCTCCCCTTATCGGGTTCTTAAGGGGGGGAGTTCATGGGGGGATGGGTACCTAGAGAACCTTCGGGAAGCTGAGGAAGCCTTAGGGAGTAGTGGGTGCTAGGCAACCTTGGGGTACATACTAAACCCTAAACCCTAAACCCTAAACCTAAACCCTAAAACCTAAACCCTAAACTCCCTTGAACCCGCCGCCCTGAAGAACCCTGTAAGTCTCCTTGGCGAGCAACTCCCGGTTCGAGAGCATGCGCACACACTCCCTCGAGTAGTACTCGAAATCCTTGACGGCCCGTGCCTGGGGTGTAGGGTTTAGGGTTTAGGGTTTAGGGTTTAGGGTTTGGGGTTTAGGGTTTATTTAGGGTTTAGGGTTTAGGGCTTAAGGTTTAGGGCATAGGGTTTAGGGTTTAGGGCTTAGGGTTTAGGGTGTAGGGTTTAGGGTTTAGGGTTTAGGGTTTAGGGTTTAGGGTTTAGGGTTTAGGGTTTAGGGTTTAGGGTTTAGGGTTTAGGGTTTAGGGTTTAGGGTTTAGGGTTTAGGGTTTAGGGTTTAGGGTTTAGGGGCTAGGGTTTAGGGTTTAGGGTTTAGGGTTTAGGGTTTAGGGTTTAGGGTTTAGGGTTTAGGGTTTAGGGTTTAGGGTTTAGGGGTTGGGGTGTCGGGTTTAGGGCTTCGGGTTTAGGGTTCAGGGTCTAGGGGTTTAAGGGTTAAAGGGTTCAGGGGTTGAAGGGTTGAGGGGTTGAAGGGTTTAAGGGTTTAAGGGTTCAGGGGTTGAAGGGTCTAAGCGCTTAAGGGCTTAGAGGTTGGGACTTCAGCGGGCGGGCGGTTCCACTCATGGCTAGGGATTTCGAGTTTAGGGCCTAGGGTTTAGTGTTTAGAGTTTAGGGTTCAGTTAGGGTTTTGTGATTCAGAGTTTAGAGTCTGGGTTTTGTCCGGGTTTAGAGTTTGGAGTTTCGGGTCAGGGTTGAACCATGAACCCAACCAAAAAGCCAAAATTGAAAGCGTCCTGAACCCTCCTCAACCCGAAGCCCTAAACCCCTAAGCCCTAAGCTCAAATCCAGCAGAAAGCCTAGACCCTTAATCCACCGAACCCCGAAACCCCAAATCCTTCAACCCTGAATCCACCGAACCCAAGAAATGCTTTCAAAACCTAAACCCTAGCGCCCTCAACTCTAAACTCTGAACCCCTGCACCCTAAACCCTAAACCCCCGAACCCTAAACCCTAAAACCCTACACCCTAAACCCTAAACCCCAAACCCTAAACCCTAAACCCTAAACCGGAGCCTGGAACTCAGGCAGCATCGTCCGCTCTGCGGAGTAGCTGCCCCAGTGAACCACACGGGGTGCTTTGCCGGCCTGGAGAGGGGCACTGCAGGGTTTAGGGTTTAGGGTTTAGGGTTAAGGGTTTAGGGTTTAGGGTTTAGGGTTTGGGGTTTGGGGTTTGGGGTTTAGGGTTTAGGGTTTAGGGTTTAGGGTCTAGGGTTTAGGGTTGGAGGGTGTAGGGTTTAGGGTTTAGGGTTTAAGGCTTAGGGTGGAGGGTGTAGGGTTTAGGGTTTAGGGGTTAGGGTTTAGGGCTACAGGGTTTAGGGGTTGGCGGGTTTGGGGTTTGGGGCTTGGCGGGTTTAGGGCTTAGGGTTGGTGGGCTTTGGGGTTTCGGGGTTTCAGGGTGGATGTACGAGTTGCGGATTGCTCCGTACTTGCACTCTAGCAGGCGAAGGTTCCCCAAAACCCAAACCCCTGGGAAGATCCACACAGTAGATCCCCTTGAGGGTTCCTAGAAATAACCAAATATAGTAGTATCGGCTGTATAGGGTGCTATTTGGGTGGCTTTACTTTCTGGATCCTCTCAGGGGTCTGGGTAAACCCGAAGCCCCAACACCTCACCTCCCGTGCACACTCCTCAGGACCAGCGTGGACTCTCAAAACCCCCTAAGAAGCCCTCAACAGGTACTTAAGTTCAGGAATGCAAGTTAAGAAGCCCCTCAACAGGTACTTAAGTTCAGGAATGCAAATTAAGTTGCCACAAACCACAGGTAAAGAACGTTGGTCTTTTGTCTATACCCATAGGTAACTTGGCGTCAGCTCCTTGACGGTTGTCTTTAGGGTTTAGGGTTTAGGGTTTAGGGTTTAGGGCTTAGGGTTTAGGGTTTAGGGTTTAGGGCTTAGGGTTTAGGGTTTAGGGTTTAGGGTCTAGGGTTTAGGGTTTAGGTCCGGCAAGGCATGGCGGGCTTTATGATTTAGAGCTTTGGGGTTTAGAGGCGCTTTTGGATCCACGCATTTTGGGGTTCATAGGGATTCTGGTGCTCAAAGCTTCCTACCAAGACCCCTGGGAGGATCCAAAAAGCAGAACCCCCAAATAGTACCCTCTACTGTCGTTTTTAGGAACCCTTAAGGGGATCTACTTTTTGGATCCTGCTCGGGTTTAGGGTTTAGGGTTTAGGCAGGGTTTAGGGGTTAGGGTTTCGGGCACCGCCTCGATCATCTTGCTGGAGACCTCCTCCACAATCTCCATCGGAAGGAGGCTGAACTCCTTGTCGGAGAGGCCCTCGTAGTAAGACATCTCCTTGAGCTCCAGGGGCTCTTCCTGCAGCGTTTCGGGGGGGGGGGGGGGGGGTTTCTTCCGGTTTAGGGTTTTGGGTTTAGGGCTTAGGGCTTAGGGCTTAGGGCTTAGGGCTTAGGGCTTAGGGCTTAGGGCTTAGGGCTTAGGGCTTAGGGCTTAGGGCTTAGGGCTTAGGGCTTAGGGCTTAGGGCTTAGGGCTTAGGGTTAGGGTTAGGGTTTAGGGGTTAGGGTTTAGGGTTTAGGTCCGTCCCTTAGGGGTCTCTCTCTAGGATATCTAGGTTTGCGGGTTCGGCTTCAGGTTTGCTATGGACGAATAGAACTTGGGTCTACGATGTAGGGGTTAGGAGTTTAGGGGTTTAGACTTAGGGCTCCTGATGGCCCAAAACCATGAAACCGCACTACTGATATTCCACGAATAGCCATCACAGCATCGAGCAAAACACCGCCAGGGGCCAAGAGAGGGGGGATTTCCCGGCAAGGAAACCCTCCATACAGGGCTTTTCAAGGCCCTAGAACAACTATTTGCTTAAGAACCCCCAAAAAATATGAAAAAAAAACTTTATGTTGCCCGCAATAAGGAAGTCTTTTTATTCCTTTTCGGGGCAAGGGCCCGACAAAGAAAACATTGGGGGATCTAACGAGGCTGCCACGTCAGGGCCTTAGGGTTATAGGATTTTAGAGTCTGAGGGGTTTAGGGCTTTAGGGGTTTAGGAAGCGGCTTGTCCGAAAAGAGGCCCTTAAACCCTAAATCCTGAACCCTAAACCCTGAACCCTGAACCCTGAACCCTGAGCCCCCAGGGTCCTTGGAGCGTTTGGGCATCATGGACACTAGTGGGGCATAGGCGAGAAGGGCGAAGAGGGAGATCACTGAGGTGCAGACCAGCATCTCCTGCGCATCTTTGAAGTTTAGGGGTTAGGGTTTAGGGTTTAGGGTTTAGGGTTTAGGGTTTAGGGTTTAGGGTTTAGGGTTTAGGGTTTAGGGTTGAGGGTAGTTTAGGCCAGTTTAGGGTTTAGGGCTTAGGGGCTTAGGAGCCCTTTCGAAGCCTGGCACTTAGCCCGTGAGGAGTCGCAAGCACTTTATATAGTGGCCCCAAGCCCCTCAACCACCCAGAATTCCAGACATTTCAGGGCTTGGAGGGTTTAGGGTTTAGGGTTTAGGGTTTAGGGGTGAGGGCTCAGGGTTTAGCGGCTTCGGGGGTTTTGCAGGGGGCGTAGGGGAGGTTTCGGCTGTGGCGATTGGAGGGTCGTGCGACTCCTGGCCGCGAATGTTGCCCACCTGACAGGTGCGTCAAGGACACTCTCAGGCCTTTTGGGAAGCCCTGCCCAGACCCCTGGCAGATCGTTTAGGGTTTAGGGTTTAGGGTTTAGGGTATAGGGTTTAGGGTTTAAGGTTGAGGGTTTAGGGTTTAGGGTTTAGGGTTTAGGGTTTAGGGTTTAGGGGTTTAGGGTTTAGGGTTGAGAGCTTAGGACTGGGAACCCCCAAAGTAGTACTCTATACTACTGCTGGGTCATTTTGCGGAACCCTGGATCCTCCCACGGGCTTGGGCCCTTCCTCAATCTTCTATGAATGAAAAGATAAGGAGAAAATAAATGAGAGATACGAAGATGTAACCGGTTAGAAAGTCGTTTACCCCCTTACTTAGCCGATGATTGGCGTTTTGGGAAGTGAACCCCGCCAAAAAAGTGGGAGGAAGTTGCGCGATTCAATAGAATCGCAACAACATGAGTGTGAGAAAGAAGCCGCCTCATATCATCTAGGCTAAACCCTAAACCCTAAACCCTAAACCCTAAACCCTAAACCCTAAACCCACGAGAATATAAATAAAGGCTGAGGGCCTGCGGGTTGAGGGTTTAAGGGGAGGCGCTTCCAGGGTCGTGGGGTTTAAGGTCGAGGGTTGAGGGCTAAGGGCTGAGGGTTCAGGATTTAGGGTTTAGGGTTTAGGGTTTAGGGTTTAGGGCTTGGGGTTTAGGGTTTAGGGTTTAGGGTTTAGGGGCTCGACCTTTGGGGACGCTCGGGCGGCTCCCAGGCCTCGTCGTAGACCGTCGCGAAGACCAGGGGCGCGATGGCCATCGAGATGTTGGAGCAGGCCTGGCGCATGTTAGGGACCCCTAAACCCTAAACCCCAAAACCCTAAACCCTAAACCCCAAACCCGAAACCCTAAACCCTAAACCCTAAACCCCAAACCCGAAACCCCGAAACCTATACCCTAAATGCAAGGATATATGAGGGACCCTAGCGGGGTGATAACGAAGCCTAACGTAGGGGTCAAAGTAATTACGAATAGTATTCCCCTGTGGTCCCTGTATTACATCTACTATATCAAGCCCCCAAAACCCTATTCTAACTGATTATAAAGGCCCCGACATTATGTTGGGGTTTAGGGTTTAGGGTTTAGGGTTTTGGGTTTTGGGTTTAGGGTTTAGGGTTTAGGGTTTGGGGTTTAGTGTTTGGGGTAGAGGGGGCCTCGTTGATGCCGCTCCAACGGCCGAGCTGGGCCTGCGCCAGGGAGGGTTTTAGGGTTCAGGGTTTGGGGTTTGGGGTTTGGGGTTTGGGGTTTAGGGTTTAGGGTTTAGGGTTTAGGGTTTAAGGTTTAGGGTCGAGGGTCAAGGATTCAGGAGGGTTCAGGGTGTGGCGTTGAGGTTTTCAGGGTTTAGGGCTTCGGGTTTCGGGCCTAGTTTAGGGCTTGTTCAGGGTTTGGGGTTTCGGGTTTGGGCGCCCTTTGAACACTTCCGGAAGAGATTCCGAAGCCAGACCTCTCAAACCATCCCCCACGACCGACCCAGCGGTTGAAAAGGGGCCTCGGGGCTTTAGGGCTTGGGCGCGTTAGGGTTTTGGGGATTCGGGATGGGTTTAGGGCTGGGGGGGGTTAGGGTTTAGGGGCTTAGGGTTCAAGGTTTAGGGTTTGGGTTTAGGGTTTAGGGTTTAGGATTTGGGGTGGGTCTGTCAAGGATTCCTGAGTCGTCCCCTAAGGACCGTACATTTGCTGATCGTCTTTTGGATAGTCAGGGCCCATATGTTGAGGTTTCATCTGAAACGTGAACCCTAAGCCCTAAACCCTAAACCCAAATAGCAACCTGCGGAGGGTTCTGTGCGACCAGTGAAGACAACCCATGCTCAACACACGCATGCGACTATAAAACAACCAAGCAACCCTACGCGTACCCTGCCCGAACCCTTGGTATCTCCAAAGCAAGAAAACCCCTGAACCCTAAAACCCTTCAACCCCTGAGGCCCTGAAACCTTCACGCCCCTCAAGCCCTGAAACCTTTTAGGGGTCTAGGGCTCAGGGCCCTAAACCCTAAACCCTAAACCCTAAACCCTAAACCCTAAACCCTAAACCCTAAACCCTAAACCCTAAGGCAGTCGGAGGCCTTGGGAGCGATCTCCGTGATAATGAGTCCCGAGGCCAAGGTGGAGAGGAAGCCAAACAGCTTCCCGGCGTACCAGACCGCCAGGAACCTTCGAAGCTCTTAGGGTTTAGGGTTTAGGGTTTAGGGTTTAGGGTTTAGGGTTTAGGGTTTAGGGTTTAGGGTTTAGGGTTTAGGGTTTAGGGTTTAGGGTTTAGGGTTTAGGGTTTAGGGTTTAGGGTTGCCGGTTGAGGGTTTAGGGCTGAATTAAGGTTTAGGGTTTAGGGTTGAGGGTTTAGGGCGTAGGGTTTCCGGGTTTAGGGTTGCTTAGGCTTGGGCTTAGGGCGTTTAGGTCCGGGGGGGTTAGAAAACCGCCAGGACCCTTCGAAGCTTCCTAGGGGTTAGGGGTTGAGGAGTTTACGGTTTAGGGAGTAGGGAGTTCGGGAGTTAGGGAGTTAGGGACTTAAGGAGTTAGGGAGTTAAGGAGTTAGGGTTTGGGGTTTAGGGTTTCGGGTTTCGGGGGCTTAGGGCTTAGGGCTTAGGGCTTAGGGCTTAGGGCTTAGGGCTTAGGGGAGATTACGGTTCAGGAGCCTAGGATTCAAGGTTTTAGTTGTTCAGGCTTTACGGGCTTAGGGCTTATACATTAATTAGGGCTTAACAGGGCTTAACAGCGCAAAAAACTCCCAAACCTTGAACCTCCCTGACACCCTTGAACCCCAAACCATTGAACCCTAAACCCTAAATACCCTAAACCCTAAACCCTAAACCCTAAACCCGAAACCCTAACCGACAGGGAGCCCCCAGACGTCCAGCTCCAGGATCAGCACCAGCTGTGTGGCGAGCGTGAAGACGCAGCCGATCACCGCCACCGCTGCGAGGTTCATGCAGCGCTGGAGCACCTCCGGACGGGGTTTAGGGTTTGGGGTTTAGGGTTTAGGGTTGAGGGTTGAGGGTTTAGGGTTTAGAGGGTTTAGAGGGTTTAGAGGGTTTAGAGGGTCTAGAGGGTTTAGAGGGTTTAGAGGGTTTAGAGGGTTTAGGGGGTTTAGAGGGTTTAGAGGGTCTAGAGGGTTCAGAGGATTTAGAGGGTTTAGATTACATAGGGTTACATAAGGTTACATAGGGTTACATAGAGTTAACAAGATTAAGGATCCTTTGTAGGGGGTCCCTCCTTCTACCCCTTACCCGAATTGAGCTCCTGGAGGATCAGCAAGGAGAAGATGACCATGATCAGGAGGCCCATGAGCCTCTACTGAATGGGAAGAAACCTAGCAAACATTACAACTTTCGTGCTGTTTCTGAGGAAGTAAACCCTAAGCCCTAAACCCTAAACCCAAAAACCAACAAAAAAATCCCACGAAGGCCCTAAGGAGCAGGTAGTTCTGGCGCTCGGCCGTCTGCCAGTCTGGAAAAAGCCTCCCGCTGTCAGGGTTGAAGATGTTTGAACCCTAAACCCTAAGCCCTAAACCCAAACTTGGGACCCTAAACCCTAAACCCTAAACCCTACTTAGCGTTGGAACTCGAAGTTCAGAAACCCGTATATAAACCTCAGGGTGGTGTGGGGGACACGCCGTCGCGGAGGTTGCAACTTCTTTCCAGGAGGCTCATACCAGCCCACTCTAAAAATACAGGGTTTGGGGTTTAGGGTTTAGGGTTTAGAGTTTACGGTTTAGGGTTTGGGGTTTGGGGTTTAGGGTTTGGGGTTTGGGGTTTGGGGTTGAGGGTGTAGGGTAGCTAAGCCTGATGTTGGCCTTACTTTGTGCAGGGGCTTAGCTAGAAAAGACCCCGCATAAACCCTAAACCCTAAACCCTAAACCCTAAACCCTAAACCCTAAACCCCTAGCATTGCAAGATCAGATCAGGGTAAGAGATTGGGCACCCCTAAACCCTAAACCCTAAACCCTAAACCCTAAACCCTCAACCCCAAAAGCAAAGAACAGCCAGAACGCTGAGCCCTTCGGCGGAAGTTAAGGTTTGGAGTTGGAGGCTTGAGGGGGAAAAAAAGTCTACGGGTCTGGGGGCCCTAAACCCTAAACCCTAAACCCTAAACCCTAAACCCTAAACCCTAAACCCTAAACCCTAAACCTTGGGGGATTTAGAGTTTAGGGTTAGGGGTATAGAACAGGGGCGCTGGGGCTTAGGCTTAGGGAGTTTGAGGGTTTAGTATGGGGCTTGAAAGTTTAGTGAGTTTAAGGGATTTAGGCCCGTTTAGGGCTTAGAGGTGTAGGGGTCAAGAGCCTGGTTAGAATCGTCCCGCGGGCCATGCGCGTGCCCTCGTCACCCGCAGAGTCCAGAGCGGATGCCACCACTGTCAGCAGGAGGATCCTGTGTCGAGCAAGGTTTTTCGGTTTAGGGCTTGGGAACCCTAAACCCTCAACCCTAATTAAACCCTAATGAAACCCTAAACCCTAAACACTAAAAAGCCAAAGATGGAGCCCCACAGAACCCGAAGCCCAAACCCATCAGGGCGACAAACGCGCATTCTGGGGGGGGGGGGGGGGGGTTCTGGGACGTTGGTGCTTTGGGTTCTTAGGGTTTTGGGTTGAAGGTTTAGGGTTTAGGGTTTAGGGTTTAGGGTTTAGGGTTTAGGGTCTAGGGTTTAGGGTTTAGGGTTTAGGGTTTAGGGTTTAGGGTTTAGGGTTTAGGGTTTAGGGTTTAGGGTTTAGGGTTTAGGGCTTAGGCTCCGCCCGGTCACAGTAAACCGTAAACCCTACAACCCTCAGCATTCCCTTGACCTTAAAGCCCGAAACCTGAAACCTCAAAGCCCTAAACCCCAAGCCCTAAACCCGAAAGTTCTGAACCCTAAGCCCTGAACCCTGGGCGCCAGGGCTGCAAAAGGGTAGTTCTCTAAACTAGGGTTCCTTTTGGGGTCCTTACTTTAAGGGTGTCGTACTATATAGGGGACCCAAAAAAGGGAATCCATTTTGACCTTAACCCCCAAACCCTAAACCCTGCACACTAAACCCTAAACCCTCAACCCTAAACCCTAAACCCCAAACACTAAACCCCAAACCCTAAACCCCAAACCCTAAACCCCAAACCCTAAACCCCAAACCCCAAACCCCAAAACCCTAAACCCTGGACCCTAAAACCTGGCGTCCTGTAGGCCAGTCGCGGCGTGGCGTGTAGGGCCGGGTCTGCCTCCTCTTCTGAAGACACCTCTCGCCTGCGGCAGGTCGGCTTTGGGGCGGGGTTTAGGGTTTGGGGTTTCGGGTTTAGGGTTAGGGTTTAGGGTTTAGGGTTTGGGGTTTAGGGTTTGAGGTTTAGGGTTTAGGGTTTAGGGTTTCGGGCTCAGGGAAGGCCACAAGAAGCCCAGGGAGGGTTTCGTGCATTAGGAGTGGGGAGTTGGGACCGACAGAGGGCGCGGAGTCACGCAGAACTGCCCGGCCCGCGCTTAAAGGTTTTCCAGCAAAAGCCCCGAAACCTTAAGCTTTGACTTTAAGGGTAGCTTTATGGGTCCTTACAAGCGGACCTTCTACAGCCCTTAAATACCCTAACAACCTGAGGGCGCATACTTCAGAACCCTTCAAAGACGGCAAGAGACCAACAGAAGAGAGTAACCCTAAACCCTAAACTCAAGGCCTAGGCCGCCCCCTACAGTTGGGGGCGGCGCCTAAGCCCCTCGACCTCGATGGCGCAAGCCGACCCAGGTCGTTCGCCCGCCTCCCACAGGTCGGAAGTCGGCAGCACCCACGATGGGGCCGGTACCGGAGCACGTTCTTGTCAAAAAACCCATGGCCACCCGCCTGCCCGCAGCATGCCCCGAAACCAGCAAAACCTGAAACCGCTTTCCCGCAGCATCTTCAGACCTGCTTGGGACCCCCGGGACCCCCCATGGGACTCACCTGGGACCCTTTTGCGGCCCCCCCCCCTGCAACCTTTTTGGACCTTGCCTGTCTCGGGCCTTCTGGACACCTTGCAGCCCCCTCAGAACCTCTCACCTTGCCTGTCTGGGACACCCTGGTTGGCTGAAAGCAAACAACGTGCTCTATTGGAAGTAAGCAATTAACTGCAAACCCTAAACCCTAAACCCTAAACCCTAAACCCTAAACCCTAAACCCTAAACCCTGTCAAGCATTGACGGCTCCGGTGTGATCCCCGTCCTCTTCTCGTCGGGTGGCACCAGCACCAGGGTCACAGCCAGCAGCGCTATGCCCGTGATGCCAGCAGCCAACCAGATGGACTCGAAGTAGTTCGCCCCGTTGCTAGGGTTGTTGGAGAAGGGCCTGGGAACATCGCGCGGCACCCTAAACCCTAAACCCTTAACCCTTAACCCTAAACCCTGAACCCTTAACCCTAAACTCCTAAACCCTAAGCCCCAAACCCTACTTCGTAACAGCGCGCAGAAGCCGAGGAAATCCGGATCAAAGACAGGTGGCTGCAGCTCTTGTGGGCTCACGACGAGCGAAAATCGGGGACCCACAGATTACCCGGCAGGTTCCCTGGGTTTAGGGCTTTAACGGTTCTAAGGGTTTTGGGTTTAGGCTTTAGGGTTTGGGGTTTAGGGTTTAGGTTTTAGGGCTTCGGGTTTAAGATTTAGGGTTTAGGGTTTATAGGGTGAACCCCTAGGGCGAACTGCACCAACTTTGAAGCCCAGGCGGCATCACGATGAAGGCGCCCACCGTCCCGCCGATGAGGCCCATACCGAGCACCATGGCGTTGTAGTTATCCTGGGAGCGTCTCCCTTGTGAAAAAGTGGATTGGGGTTTAGGGTTTAGGGGTTTAGGGGTTTAGGGGTTTGGGGATTTGGGGGTTTGGGGGTTTGGGGGTGTGGGGGTTTGGGGGTTTGGGGGTTTGGGGGTTTGGGGGTTTGGGGGTTTGTGGGGCTTTGGGGGTTTGGGGGTTTGGGGGTTTGGCGGTTTGGAGCTTAAGGAAATTGCCCAAAACCCTCACACCCGAAACCCTCTGAACCATTAAGTGCGACGCTTTGGGATGTTCCCCCGTAATACGAACAGTCCTTAATAGGGATTCTAGTACCCCTGTTATCATCCCTATTAAGGACTGTTAGTATTAGGGGTCCCAATAGACATCATCTGGGTTCCGGGTTTGAGGCGTCGGTGCTGCCGGCACCCTAAACCCCTAAACCCGAAACCCCAAACCCTAAACCCCAAACCCTAAACCCTAAACCCTAAACCGTAAACCCTAAACCCTAAACCCTAAACCCGATTTGGGATTGTTACAGGCGTCCCGCTCGGCACCGTCGAAGAGCTGCCCGAAGTACGTCGAGGCAATCTGCATGCAGTTCCCAAAGAAGTTGTTCCACACGTTGCCTAGGCTGGTCCTTGAACACCCTAAAGCCTGAACCCTAAACCCCGAACCCCAAACCCTAACCCCTAAATCCTAAACCCTACAGACCCTAAAGACCCTAAACCCAATAGACTCTATAGACCCTAAACCCTGAACCCTAGACCCGAAACAACCTCCCAAAGTTTCAAAGGCCCATGTGCCGAGCATGAAGAGGTAGTAGGACTTAACCCAGATCGCCGAGGCGTAGATGATGACGTAGCCGAGGATGCCCATGCCCAGGCAGATCTGCATGGGGATCTTGCCTGGAGCCACCCCCCAAAAACTCCCTCGCCCTAAACCCTATACCCTAAAACCTAAACCGTATAAGCCCTAAACCCTAAAAGGTAAGAACCCTAAACCCTAAGCCCTCAACCCTGAAGCCTAAAACCCTTTAAAACCCTTAAAGCCCTCAACCCCCTAAGTCAGGAAACCTCCAAGCCCCTAAACCCTAAACCCTAAACCCTAAACCCTAAACCCTAAACCCTAAACCCTAAACCCTAAACCCTAAACCCCGTCGGCTTCAAAAAGGATCCACCGAACCCGAGGTCGAAGGACTCTCGGCTCTTAGGGCTCTTGGTTTAGGGTTTAGGGTTTAGGGTTTAGGGTTTAGGGTTTAGGGTTTAGGGTTTAGGGTTTAGGGTTTTAGGGTTTAGGGTTTAGGGTTTAGGGTTTAGGGTTTAGGGTTTAGGGTTTAGGGTTTAGGGTTTAGGGCTCTTACGGTTCTTACGGTTCTTACAATAAGCCTAAGCTACGACGCAACCCTTACAGGACTCCAGGGTTTCGGGCTTGGGGTTTTGAGGTTTCAGGGCTTTTAGGGTTCAGGGTTTAGTGTCTATAGGGCTTAGGTGTAGGGTTTAGGGTTTAGGGTTTAGGGTTTAGGGTTTAGGGTTTAGGGTTTAGGGTTTAGGGTTTAGGGTTTAGGGTTCAGGGTTTAGTGTCTATAGGGCTTAGGTGTAGGGTTGAGGGTTGAGGGTTGAGGGTTGAGGGTTTAGGGTTTCGGGTTTAGGGTTTAGGGTTTAGGGTTTAGGGTTTAGGGTTTAGGGTTTGGGTTTTTACGGTTTAGGGCCTTTAGCGTTCTTGCAATAACCCCCGAAGTTCCTTTAAGACACACCCCTGGAGGCTCAGCTGCAGCCCATCTTGTCGCAAAGCCAGCCGAAGAAGAGGGAGCCCAGGGCCGAGCCCAAGAAGCCCAAGGACATCACCAGGTTCCTTGTAGGGTTTAGGGCTTTATGGGGTTTGGGGTTTAGGGTTTAGGGTTTAGGTAAGAGGGTTTAGGGTTTAGGGTTTAAGGTTTAGGGTTTAGGGTTTAGGGTTTGGGAGCTCAACTATCGGGCTCTCGAGGGTGTTGAAAGAACTCCGCTTTACGGGGGTAAGGACATCACAAGGTTCCTTGTAGGGCTTTCAACTTTGGGGCTCTCTCTCGAGGGTTTAGGGTTTAAGGGTTAAGGGTTAAGGGTTTAGGGTTTAGGGTTTAGGGTTTAGGGTTTAGGGTTTAGGGTTTAGGGTTTAGGGTTTAGGGTTTAGGGTTTAGGGTTTAGCGTTTGGGGCTGTTGCACAATCGATGAAGAGCCAAAAGCCTACAGGCCCTGAAACCTGAAACCTTGGAAGCCCCTGCCCCCAGAAGCCCAGGCTCATGGACAGCGAGTAGGGGACGGGGGGCGCCCCCGACCAGGAGCCCGGTTCGCCCTTGAAGGCGTGCGGGGAGATGTACTGCTGCGTCTGCGCCTGTGCAGGTGGCATAAGGGGTTTGGGGCTTTAGGGGTTTTGGGATAGAAGGTACAGGGTTTTACCTTTTTTGGAGGGGCTTAGGGTGTAGGGTTTAGAGGGTTTATAGGGTTTACAGGGTTTACAGGGTTTATAGGGTTTACAGGGTTTACAGGGTTTATAGGGTTTATAGGGTTCATAGGGTTTATAGGGTATATAGGGTTTATACGGTTTATAGGGTTTATAGGGTTTACAGGGGCTATAGGCTTTATGGGGTTGATAGGGTTTGTAGGGTTTGTAGGGTTTGTAGGGTTTGTAGTGCTTGGGGTTGGGAAGCCTTGGGCTAGCGCTGCCCGGAAACAGACCAAGAGTCTGCGACGATCGAAACCCTCCTACATTGGGATTCGGGTTCCGGTTTTGGAGTTTAGGGGCTTATAGGGTCATAAGATCTTCGGGTGTTCGGGTTATAGGGTTATAGGGTTGTAAGGCTATAGGGACGTAGGGTTCGAGGATGATAGGGTTACAGGGTAAACCCTAAACCCTAAACCCTAAACCCTAAACCCTAAACCCCTAAACCCCTAAACCCTAAACCCTAAACCCTAGGCTTAAGCTGAGTTGCGACAAGCCCTGAAGCCCAACCCGTACTCGGAGAGCCCCGGCTCATCCTCTGAACCCTTAGCCCTTAGCCCGAAAAACTAACCCTAAACCCTTAACCCTAAACACTATAAACCCTAAACCCTAAACCCTAAACCCTAAACCCTAAACCCTAAACCCTAAACCCTACTCAGAAACCCAACAAAGGAACCCTACAACAGAACCCTCACGAGCACCTCATAGACCTCTTGCGACAGAAGGCCCGCCGCCAGCTGCTGCTCGAGGAAGTGTCCAGGGCCACCCTGCGAGGCATCTGGGTTTAGGGTTTAGGGTTCAGGGTTTAGGGGTCAGGGTTTAGGGTTTAGGGTTTAGGGTTTGGGGTATGGGGTTCAGGGTTTAGGGTTCAGGGTTTAGGGTTTAGGCTTTGGGATGTAAGGGCCTCGTCCCTACACCCAACCAGGGTTGAGAGTTGAGGGTCGAGAGATCGTAAGGGCTCAGGGTTTTGAGGCTCAAGGTTTATGGCCTGTGGTTTTCGGGTCTTTAGAGTTTAAGGTTTAGGGTTTAGGGCTACAAGTTTACGGTTTGCCAAAAGTAACCTGCGTACCCTAAAGGCAAGTCTTACGCATTTACAATGATATGAGGAAACTCTGACGTATTAGAGCTTGGGGCTTAAGATTTAGGTACTAGTGCTTCACAAGCACAAAGCCCTTGAAGAAACCTTACAAACCCAAAAGCCACCATGAACTAAACCCTAAACCCAAAACCCTAAACCCTAAACCCTAAACCCTAACCCTTAAACCCAAACTCGAAAACCTACACCACGCCTCCGCAAAGGTGCACACAGAGGCCAGACCAGGCATGATGATGGCAGTGCCTGTGCGACAGGAACGCGTTGGTGGACGGGAGGGACGGGGGAGGAGGGTTTCGGGCTTAGGGTTTAGGATGTAGGGTTTAGGGTTTAGGGTTTAGGGTTTAGGGTTTACCGGGTTTACCGGGTTTACCGGGTTTACCGGGTTTACCGGGTTTACCGGGTTTACCGGGTTTACCGGGTTTACCGGGTTTACAAGGTTGAGGGTTGAGACTTCAGGGCTAGAGCCTGCACACCGCGAATAAAGAAGCCCAAGCTAGGGGCCGGTTCTGAAAACCCTTTGTTTAATTCACCCTACACCCTCCATATATAATCCCTTAAAGGGTATATAGGGCCCTTGTTCCCTCATTCCTTAGGGGGGGTTTCGGGTTGTTTTGTGAGCATTTAGGTCCAATCTTTCGAGTTCTGCTTGGTTTCTTTTTTTCTTTTGCTTTCGCGTTTTGGGTCTTGGGGCTAAGGCCCGAGCCCCTGAAAGCTTCAGGAAGTCCTTCACCCCCTAGGAAAAGAGGCCGGGAGAACGCGCAACCCCTCTTGCGCCCCCAGCCCCGCGCCTCAGTCCTAAACCTCTCAATAAAACCTAAACGCTAAGCCGAAGCCCAAGAAGCTGAAAGCCCTGAAGCCCCCCCAAATGTCAGGGGAGTATTAGAGCATGGGTATGAAGCCCGAAGAGATTTCAGTTCTTGTTTGCTCTAGTCTTTTGGGCTTGGGGTAAGGGTTTGGGGTTTGGGGTTTGGGGTTTGGGGTTTGGGGTTTGGGGTTTAGGGTTTAGGGTTTAGGGTTTTTGGTTTAGGGTTTAGGGTTTAGGGTTTAGGGTTTAGGGTTTAGGGTTTAGGGTTTAGGGTTTAGGGTTTAGGGTTTAGGGTTTAGGGTTTGGTATAGAGCTGAGGGCTTGCTGTAGGGTTTTCAGGGCTTTGGTGTTTCGGGCTACAGTGGGGCCTTGGGTTTCAGATGCTGGAGGGTTCAGGAAACGCTAGCCCTAAACCCAAACCCGAAACTTGGCAGGGGGTGGAGGGGGGTATGCGACGTAATTATAGCCCCAAACCCTAAACCCCAAAACCCCAAACCCTAAACCCTAAACCCCACACCATGAATTTCCAGGCAGATGTTCGGAGAACCCTTTTTGTTGGTGGGGGCTTAGCTTGCGAGCTTCGGCTCTGAGGGTGTAGGGCTTACCGGCTTCTGCAAAGTTTAGGGTTTGGGGTTTAGGGTTTAGGGTTTAGGTTCTTATTCTTATTCCCTCAATCCCTACTACTTAACCTAAACCCTAAACCCTCAACCCTGAACCCTCTACCCTAAACCCCAACCCCCCCCCCCCCCCTCGAACAAACGGCCGAGGTGCCAAGGATGTCTGCGAAGACAGCGAAAATGGTAATGCCGGCCACGAGGAGCTGGAAGCGCTTGCTGGTGCGGAGTCTGACCTGGGCCTGCGACTCTAGGGTTTAGGGTTTAGGGTGTAGGGTTTGGGGTTTCGGGTTTAGGGTTTAGGGTTTGGGGTTTAGGGTTTAGGGTTTAGGGTTTAGGGTTTAGGGTTTAGGGCTTGGAGTTTAGGGCTTTGGGGTAACATTTGCTGGTGCGGACTCTGACTTGGGCCTGCCGCCACTTCAGGGCTTTGGGGGGGTTTTAGTGGGATTTAGGACTTGGGGTTTGGGTTTGGGGTTTGGGGTTTGGGGTTTGGGGTTTGGGGTTTGGGGTTTGGGGTTTGGGGTTTGGGGTTTGGGGTTTGGGAGTGTAGGGTTTGGGGGTTTTAGGGTTCAAGGTTCGGAGGTTTGGGCTTGATAGGGCTTAGGGTTTAGAGGTTTGGGGGAGCTAGGGTGTAGGGTTTACTGAAGGCCATGGATTCAAGGAGGACTTTGGGTTAAGGGCTTGGGGCGTAGGGCTTCCCAAACCCATGACCCCCAGCGGATAGGTTGAGGGGCTTCGGGTGTGGAGGGAACTTCAGTCTTTAAGTTTGCGGGCTTGGGGTGAAAGGCCTGGAGCGTGAACTGAGGTCACTGTGGGGGTTTCTCGGATTCTCACGCACACTTGAAGTCAGACTTCCCCATCAAAGCTCAGGGGTTTTGTGGATTTATGGGCTGATCTGCGACTGGTTCTGACACCCTAAACCCTCAACCCGAAACCCGAAACCCTGAACCCTAAACCTTAAGCCCTTTCCCTAAACAAAAACCCCTAAACTCCTACACCCTAAACCCGTAAACCCCTGAACCCTAAGGCTCTGAACAGATGTCAGGGGCACCTCCGACCATCGTTTCAGCATGCCCGTCGGCAGCGGGGAAACCGGAGAGGACGCGCCCCCTAAACCGCATCTGCAGCACCCGCCAGGCATGGCTCAGTTTTGGGGGGGTTTAGGGTTTAGGGCTTAGGGGGAAGGGGGGGCGCTTGTCAGGGGGCTTGACAACGGACATTTTTAAAGGAATGTCAGCATTTAACATAGCTTGGACGAAGTCATTGCAACGATCTCGTGGATTCTGCGCTTCCTTCTGCGGCGGTGTGTCGGATGACGCTTGGCAACCGGACCTTCTCAGATCGTTGCACACAGAACGGCGTGCGCGATGAGCTCAGTATAGGACTTATGTTGTATTGTGATGGTGTACATTGCCTTGAGACGGCCTGAGCTCAGTATATGTTGAGGGTCTCTTCTTGGACACGCCGAGGAGATAAAGGGCTGTGCAGAGCAGCATGTTTGTCTTCGGGCGAGTCTGACTTTGACCTACTCCAGGGGTGCGGGTGCAAGTTCTCTGTAAGTAAGGATCAACGGAATCATTCCTAATCGTGTCCCCTTATGGTCCCCATATGTGTATATACATACATATATATATATATACACTAGAACCACCCCCAAAACCCTATTTTAATAATCAAGTCCCATATATTATATCCCTAAACCCTAAACCCTAAACCCTAAACCCTAAACACCCTCCAGGGCTTGTCCTGACAACCAGAGCTCTTTTTTGCCCCGCCACAATCATCATGCCATGTTTTGCCTGAGCTGAGGTAACAGGGTTCAGGGTTTTAGGGCTTCGGGCTTAGGGTTTAGGGCTCAAGGTTTAGGGTTTAGGGTTTAAGGGTTAAGGGTTAAGGGTTTAGGGTTTAGGGTTTAGGGTTTAGGGTTTAGGGTTTAGGGTTTTTTGGGCTTAGGGCTAAGGGTTTAGGGTTGATACTTCTGGCAAAATTCAACCTAGTACCTCAACGAGAACAACAGCTCGGATAGACGCAAAGGGAGCTAATGATAAAAAGAACATGGGATCCGAAGTTTGCACCCTTAATTTGGGCCCCTTGTTTTTTTGCCTTCTATACAAAATCTACCATAAGGGGCCCAGACTGAGGAGCCCCAAAAATAAGGGCAAGGGACCAAACTATGTAAGGGCTCATAGTTCCAGCCTTCGAAAACAAAGCACGAAAGTTCAACAGGATACAGTTCTAAGTACACGCGTTCGAGTTCACTTCCGAATCCCACCAAGGACCCTACTTAGGGTTTAGGGTTTAGGGTGTGGGGTTTAGGGTTTAGGGTTTAGGGTTTGGGGCTTGGGGCTTAGGGCTTAGGGTTTAGGGTCTACTCTCGAACGATGTCCACATACCATGTTGCCAACACCACACGGAAGTGCACGGATTAAAGGCAATTGCCCAACCAGCAAGCTGACTCCTGGGATGAGTCCCGAGTCCTTTCTGGGGGTTAGGGTTTAGGGTTTAGGGTTTAGGGTTTAGGGTTTGAGTTTAGGGTTTAGGGTTTAGGGTTTAGGGTTTAGGGTTTAGGGTTTCGGGTTTCGGGTTTAGGGTTTAGGGTTTAGGGTTTAGGGTTCAGCCCCCCAAGCCAAGGTGCCGCAGGGCTCTTCGCCTTTGTTGCAAGCATCATGCCGTGTTCGGCCTCGGCCGAAGGGTATATTTGTTGTTGCGCATGCACAGAAATTCTAGGGGTTCTACCCTGGTCCCTGAGGGTTGTACCCCTGGGTTGTGGGGACCCTTTTTGAAGATCCGTCAGTTAAAGATGAAGGCCATATTGGGAATATACTAAGAGGAACCTTTAGGGGTACAACCTTACGGGTACCATGCATCCCTTGAGAAATGGGGGTTTATGATAATACAGGGACCCCGAAAAAAGCCCCCCAAATAGAGGATTCCCTTGGAATAGGGACCCCAGTAAGGTACCCCTAAGATCGTAAAGCCCCAAATAGCTGAGTGCGATAGAACGGCTGATCCGCATGAGACATCGAACTGAAAACTACCCCAAAACCCTAAACCCCAAACCCTAAGCCCTAAACCCCAAACCCTACACCCTAAACCATAAACCCTAAACTTGGCTTCTTACATCCTTCACAGGACAAGTAACCTTTGTGCATGACTGAACCCTAAACCCTAAACCCTCAACCCTAAACCCTAAACCCTAAACCCTGACTTCAAAGGTTGTGGTGTTTCATCCAGCTGGGGACGACTAATTCTGAACCCGCAACTTACAGCTTCTATAATGCAACTTTGGGCCCCGAGTGTGGCCTTGTGTTCGGAACTGCCAGGGTCGAGGGTTTAGGGTTTAGAGTTTAGGGTTTAGGGTTTAGGTTTTAGGGTTTAGGGTTTAGGGTTTAGGGTTTAGGGTTCAGTCAGAAACAAAAGTTACTTTCCTAGTGGCTTCAAGCCACTGTACTGCGAGGCGTTCTTCCCCCGCCGAAACCATCACGCCATGTTCGGCCTCAGTCGGGGGATTGCGTGGCCCCTACTTAAACCCTAAACCCTAAACCCTAAACCCCAAACCCCAAACCCTAAACCCTAAACCCGAAACCCTAAGCCTAAACCCTAAACCCCAACCCCAACCCTAAACCCTAAACCCTAAACCCCCAAACCCTAAACCCTAAACCACAAACCGAGGCACGTGTCTTCCTGGCACGCAGGCCTTGCAAACGTGGAGACTTGACGCTGCGGAGCACCAGCCCCCGGAACATAGTGGGTGCCAGCTTTCCTGTCGGCCGACTGGGTTTAGGGTTTAGGGTTTAGAGTTTAGGGTTTGGGGGTTTAAGGTTTAGGGTTCTCTAGAAAAGGATCCTTTTTGGGGGTTCCTATTTGTAAGGTGGCGTTACGAGAAATAGGTCCCCAAAAGTGACCCAATTTCAAGAACCACCCATGGATCGGCTTGGGGTGTAGAGACTTGGGGGATTAGGGTTTAGGGTTTAGGGTTTAGGGTTTAGGGTGTTCGAGGCTTGGGGGTGTGGTGCTTAGGGGTTTGGGGTCCAGGAAGAGGAGACGCTCAGGGTCTTCACGCGCGTGTAAGGTTCTACGATAGGGGACAGGACGGATAGGGCTGAACCCTAAGCCCTCAACCCTTCACCCTAAACCCTAAACCCTAAACCCTAAACCCTAAACCCTTAACCCTTAACCCTAAACAGGATTCTGCTCCCCACGCAGGCCTGTAGGCCATGATGGTCTTGGCCGTGTTGTGGCTTTTCGGATCGACTCCTGCTTAGTTGTCCAGTACATAGGGGAACTAAAGGTTAACCTGTGTGATTACAAGGGGATTGGATTACCCAAAAAAGGTTAAAGGTTGCCCTAAACCCTAAACCCTAAACCCTAAACCCTAAACCCTAAACCCTAAACCCTAAACGAGGCCTGTTGTATGGGAGATGGTGAAGGCGTCTCCGTTCGCGTCGGCGGTGGCGGAGAGGCGAAAGCCAGCGATCTGAAGGAAGTGATCTCCGAAGCTGATGCCTCTTTGGAGGGGTCGGAACTGAAAACTTTAGGGTTTAGGGAAGGGTGGAGGGTTTAGGGTTTAGGGTTTAGGGTTTAGGGTTTAGGGTTTAGGGTTTAGGGCTTAGGGTTTAGGGTTTAGGGTGACCAGCGAATCTGGAATGTTGATTTTGCGCTGGTGGGGTGTGCAGTGCAGAGTCAAGTTGAGATTTGTACTTTGGGCCCCTGGAATTGGATGGAGTATTTCGGGATGTTCGCCCCTCTACTCACAATCCTTAATAGGGATGATAATAGGGGGTACGAAAAATCCCTATTTAAGGACTGTTAGTATAAGGTGGGAACATCCCAAGGAGTTCTATCTTCGGTCGTCTGCTGCGTGTAGGTGCAGGAACCGCCTCAAGAGGCTGAAGGGGCACAGAAACTTCATGGAACCGTCTTCCCCCCCCCCCCCCCCCCCCCCCCCCCCCCCCCCCCCCCGGCAAGGGTTCTTGCGTGTGACAATGCAAAACCCCAAACCCTAAACCCTAAACCCCTAAATCCCTAAACCCTAAACCCTAAACCCATAGGGTATGAAGAACCCCAGGCCTATCCTGTTCTCGTAAAGATCTTGTTAGGAGCTTTGTGAGAATGACTTACCAAAGGGGCAGGCTTCGGACTCAGGTAAGAGCAGGGTTTAGGGTTTAGGGTTTAGGGTCTAGGGTTTAGGGTTTAGGATTTAGGGTTTAGGGTTAAACGCTGAACCCTCAAGCCCGAAACTCCTCGAAAATCCTCGTCGAAACTTTCCCCGGACCTGAACCCTCAACAAGTTCAATAACCCCTCAACCTAAGCTAGGAAGAGGAAGCAAAATGGGAGCAAAACGTCTAGATGGTGGTCTTGTACTGAATTCAAGTCAACTCCTGAAAACCCTTCATAAGTTCAATAAACTCTAAACCCTAAACCCTACACCCTACACCCTAAACCCTAAACGCGGCCTTGGGGTCTGTCTCGATGAAAGCCCCATGTGTTGTAGGCGGCTTCGCTGGGGGGCCCGAGCGTGACGACCAACCCGTCCCGCCGGAAGATCTGGACGGTCCGAACCTGCAAGGTCTAGGGTTTAGGGTTCAGGGTTTGGGGTTTGGGGTTTGGGGTTTAGGGTTTAGGGTTTAGGGTTGAGGGTTTAGGGTTTAGGGTTTCGGGTTTAGGTTTAGGAGGGTTGGGATTTAGGGTTTTAGGGTTTAAGGCATAGGCGAAAGCAACTTGACCTTCAGCAACCGAATGACCTGGCCATTGGGGTTCTTGACGGAAATGGTGAAGTGAGAAGGGTCCGTCTGCCCAAACCTCCAATTTCCCACCTGGATGAAACGGTCCTTGGTTTGGGGTTTGGGGTTTAGGGATTAGGGATGAGGGATTAATTAGGGTTTAGGGATTAGGGATGAGGGATTAACTAGGGTGTAGGGATTAGGGATCAGGGTTTAAGGTTTAGGGCTTAGGGTTTTGCTCGGCTATCGATGCCAGGACCATCTCAAGATACGAGAATGGCAACTTTCACCCAGCAGGTTTCCTAAATCAGGATCCCTTTTGGGGTATGGGGAGCGCAAGACGCAACTTCAGGCTTAAACCCGAAACCCTAAACTCCAACTGTTCCCACCCTGCTAAGAGAGGCAGTCCTTAAGTGGTTTGGGCGCGATGTACTTCGTTTGGTGCGCGCCACGCGGCAAGAACATGATTTGTGTCAGCAGCGTCTGTCTTTGCATCCGGGTTGTGTATGGGGAAAACTGCGGGTGTGCACATCACATTCTCATGCGCGTGGACACCCAGTGACACGCAACAGTGGGTATCATTCCAAGTTGGAGAGGGCTCTGATTCAACACGCCAACTTCAGAAAACCAACTTCTGCTTCTATGAGAAATCTGCTCAACGGAATATTTTGTTTTCTTTCACAGTTCAGCGGCTCGTGTGTCCCAGAACACATAGTTGCGTACGGTGTCGTGTGTCTACTTTATCTAAGGTATCGGTGCAAGAGAACAATGAAAGGCATGGGGAATAGAATAAACATCATTGCAGGCTGCGTGTGGATGCAGGCGTGAAGCGTTTGCGGTCTCAACGTTGGTTTGGCCTGGATGCACATAGGATCCGTACGCGATTAGGATGGACGTCATCATGTGGCATTCGCATGGAAGCGCCATACCAGTGAATCGGGACATGTTCGCACCGCGCAATCCCTCCCCCCCCCCGCCCCTAGCCTCCGACCCCCACACCCCACCCCCTGGAATTTGTGAGACGACCGCCAGCGACCATCAAAAGGGCATACAGTAGGTCGGTGACGTGTGCTGAGATAGCTCCCTCTGCGTAGATGTATTCTGTATGTTCGGTAAACATGCAGAAAGGAGGAACCCTAAACCCGAAGTTTTGTGTCGGGCTGCCCCAAAGAAGACGCCATACTGGCTGGTGTCCATGCCTCACTCACTGGAGGCCGGGGGTCTCAACTTAGAAGGTTTAGGGTTCAGGGTCTAGGGTTTGGGGTCCAGGGTTCAGGGTTGAGGGTTTCAACTTGAGGGTTTTTTGGCCGCCCAAACAGCGCGCAAAGTTTGAGAATCACGGAAGACGGAACGAAACCTGCAGGATGCAGAATCTCGGCAAGCTATATAAGACATCCGAAGCCCTCAGCCCTAAACCCTAGACCCTAAACCCCAAAACCTGAAGCCCAAGACCCCAAGCCAACAACAAGCATGGACTTGGAACGAGATGCTCAGTGAGGTCAGCGTGACGCCTTCTGCCCACCCCCACGATCCCCAGTCCTTTGGCTTGGGGGTGGTTTCTTTAGTTAGGGTTTAGGGTTTAGGGTTTGGGGTTTTGGGTTTTGGGGTTTTGGGTTTTGGGTTTTGGGTTTTGGGTTTTGGGTTTTGGGTTTTGGCTTTTGGCTTTTGGGTTTTGGGTTTTGGGTTTTGGGTTTTGAGGGGGGTCTCTAAAGAGCAGTTCCTGCGCAGCCTTTTCTGGATCTCTCGGCTATGGGCCCAAGGACTGCGGAGTTAGACAAGTTGTGAAATGTTTAGGGTTTAGGGTTTAGGGTTTAGGGTTTAGGGTTTAGGGTTTAGGGTTTAGGGTTTAGGGTTTAGGGTTTAGGGTTTAGGGTTTAGGAAAGGAGTATAACTAGGGGAGCTGTGACTTCGGCTGTACACTATACACACACTAGACTGGGCAGAATTTCACAAGGGTTGAGGGTTTTAGGGGTTTTAGGGTTTAGGGTTTTAGGGTTTAGGGTTTAGGGTTTAGGGTTTAGGGTTTAGGGTGTAGGGTTTAGGGTTTAGGGTTTTGGGTTTAGGGTTTGGGGTTTCGGGTTTAGGGTTTCGGGTTTAAAGTTTAAGGCTGAGGGCTTTCTTTAGTTGTGGGCTCTTCGGGTTTGTGTTGCAGGCTTCGTGATGCTAAGGTCTCGGCTTAAAGCGGTCTCCTTCTTTACAGGGTTCTGAAGCAAAGGGCCCTTGGGTTCTACAGCATGGCAACTACCCTAGAGAAGAAGGGGTATAAGGACGGACTCGTGGAAGGGACCCTTAATCTAATACCCCCATATGAACCCAAAACCCTATACGTACCTTATGTAGTCCCCGTATACCTAAGTAGCACTTTACCCCGAAAGCCCCGCATGAGGGTCTCTCCTGCAATCTCTTGAGAAGCCCCAAAGCCCTCCCCAACCTTCCTGAGCCCTACACCCCTACACCCCTAAACCCTAAACCCTAAACCCTAAACCCTAAACCCTAAACCCTAACCCCTAAACCCTGAACCCTAAACCCTAAACCCTAAACCCTAAACCCTAAACCCTAAACCCTAAACCCTAAACCCTAAACCCTCCCTCACCTCCCTAAGCCCTGCACCCCTAAACCCCCTGAGTCCCTGAACCCCTCTTCGGTTTTACTTTCCGTGGGGACCAAAGGAGAGACTTGAACAGGGAGTTGGTGCATACGACATGACGTTCTAGGGTTTAGCGTTGAGCGTTTAGGGTTTAGGGTTTAGGGTTTAGGGTTTAGGGTTTAGGGTTTAGGGTTTAGGGTTTGGGGTTTTTTCGCCTACACCTTAAAAACCCCCGCATACATCTAAAATGGCGATCATAGAAGTAGTTATCCAATTTTGGGGGTGCACATTTCCAGGAAATAACTACCCTCCAATCATTGACATAGCAACATCTACCATTCTTGGCTCTTGCAGAGCATTACATATTGGGATTCCAGGATATGTGCGGCCCAGGCGAGTTTTTTTGAAATGGTCCAAGTCAGCGTACATATTCTTCGTTGGAGCTGTGCGGAAACTGTTGGTCGAGGAGCTTCCATGTTGGCACATGTTTGGTCTAAACCAGCACAACATCACGACGGTACATCGAAATGACCGACGGGCACCCACAAGGCACGCAACCGCTAACGTAGCAGTTCCGTACAAACAGTGTCTTGGCTGGTTTGGCAATTCTCCGGAGGCACTCTAGGCCGTGTTCCCTACCCCAATGTCGGAAACTCCTACATGAAACAAGGCCCTAAACGCTAAACCCTAAACCCTCAACCCTAAACCCTACACCGGACTTCATACCTTTCAAGTTCCCTTCTTAAAGCCAGCCCAGGATCTGTACGAGGACCTGGGTGCATCGTCCCATCACTGCGCCAGATCTGGGGTGTCTGGCCTCTTCCGCTAGTGCGTCAGAGCTTGGGGCTACGAGTTTAAGCTTTAGGGTTTTGGGGTTTTGGGGTTTAGGGTTTAGGGTTTAGGGTTTAGGGTTTGGGGGTTTTTGGCCCTTGTAACACTTCTCTACACGCGGCATCTCTCTCCTTTGAGGCCGATTGTGTGGACCCCCCCAGGCACCGGCAAGCAGCTCCCCTTAAAACCGTGAGGCCTAAGGGTGTAGGGTTTAGTCCAGGCGAACGTCACTCATTGCAGGGTTTTAGAACAGGCGTTTCGGGGTGGGGGGTGTGGTGGGGGGGCGGCGGGGGGGGGCGGGGGGGGGGGGCGGGGGGGGGGGGGGTGGGGGCTGGGAGGGTAACAATGTCCATTAGCGTTTTTGAAAAGGATGATTTGACGTTTATGGAAAACGACACGCAGTTACCGTCGTTCATGCCCTGGCGAAAATGCCCCAAACACTGGCATTTGCAGCATTTGTCCTTCTCGTACAACATATTCTGGAACAAGACACGCGTTCACAAGTGTTCGTGCCTTTGGCGAAGATGCCACAACACTGGTGTTTGCAGCATTTTTGCCTCTCTGTACACATTTTTGCCTCTTTGTACAACATCAGCACAAGAACACTGTGCGCAGCGTTTTCGCCCAAAAACAGAATTCAAAAAGCAAGCTTTTTTGGGGCGCGATTCGCGCGTCTCGAAAACTTCGCTCTGCGCAATGTTTTCGGGCGAGAGAACACCGATCCCATGGTGGTGGTGGTGATTCTGAGGATAGACAAGACACACGTCCAGCGAATGCGACGCGCAGAAGACTCTCGAGTTTTGACGTTCTCCGGTGTCCAACGCCGAAATATCAGGCGCAAAGCACGCGGGGCCGCAAGGAGGGGCGTTACGGGGTTTGGGGTTTTGCAGGGGGGTTCATGAAGCCTGGTTCAAACCCTAAACCCTAAACCCTAAACCCTAAACCCTAAACCCTAAACCCTAAACCCTAAACCCTATACGAAACCCTAAACCCCAAACTTTGCAGAACTTGCTGCGGCCCACCTTCGCTATGTGACAGGGAGAAGTGGGCGGAGTTGATCATCGCCAGACGCCACTTGCCAATCTGGACGAAGTTGTTCCCCACCTTTGGCCGCACTTCGGGTTTATTCCAGGTCATCTTCGACATTCCCTGGCGCATGTTCCAAGTTAGGGGCCCCGGTTTGCAGGCTGATCCTCACTATCTGGACCTCAAAATCAGCTCTTACTTGTTGGCTCAAGCCATTTGGTGAGTCCTCAAAAAAACTTGTTTTATGTATTCAACAAAAACGACACGAACCCTTCAGGACATCAACTTCATGTCTTCGTTATGAGGCGGCCCCCCAAGTAAAATCTCAGCACCAGTGTGATGGTATGGCGCTAGCTTCGCGCTGGCACTCAGTCTAGGAATTGTAAGTATGCCTGACCAGAAAGAAAGCAGGTTTGGAGTTAAGATTAAAGCTGTTTCTTTAGGGTCTAGGGTTTAGGGTTTAGGGTTAAGGGTTAAGGGTTAAGGGTTAAGGGTAGCTGGCCCACAGTTAGCATTGTAGGTGTCTGCCATGGATGGTCACCTGTTGGAAGAGCCACAGAATCCGGATGGCCTCCTCTGTTTCGTGTCCAAGAAAAAAAGGGATCTGCTCAAGCAAAGACCACTTTTTTTCAAGGGTTTAGGGTTTAGGGTTTAGGGTTTGGGGTTTGGGGTTTAGGGTTTAGGGTTTAGGGTTTGGGGTTTGGGGTTTCGGGTTTCGGGTTTAGGGTTTAGGGTGTGATAGTGTTGGCGGATTTTGGGGCTGGAAAACAGTGGGTTGCTGGCGCTTGTACAGAGCTAGCAAGCGTGCACGAACCTGGGTTTTCCAGACAGTCACCAGACGCAGGCCCAAGGGTTTGTAGGCCTAGGGGTTGGATTTTCCCCAAATCCCAGACGTTCAACCTAGACCCTCAACCCCTAAAACTTAAACCACCTCATTCCCCCTAGTATAAAAACTTGCTGATGGCCTGATTTAGTATCAACTTCCAAGCTGCATGACTGTTGGAACTCAACATCAATCTCTAGACGCCTCATGGAAGACCTCCCTCCACCCTATACTGCGTTAAGGAGGTGCAGTAGCGCGTTTGCTAGGTAAAGGTGAGCTTCAGATGCGAATACACAAACTGCTCCTCTCCTGTGTGGGAGGCGTCTTGCTATGTTGGACACGAGGCGGCTCCGCACTCCCGCGTTCCGCGACACATGCTGGATGAGCAGCACTTTGAGAAAATGACCCACATGGTGGTTTCCGAAATAGGGGTACCCTCTTTGGGGGTTCCTGTAAGCCCTAAGCCCGAAGCCGAAAGCCCTAAACCCTAAACCCTAAACCCTAAACCCCAGGTCTTTCTGCCGCCGAGCTCCTTGATGCCCAGGCCGTTCTCGCCGATGCGGTAGCACTTCTCGCCGGACACCTGTCCCGGGAGAGCTTCAGACTGAGACAGAGAAAGGGTTTAGGGTTTAGGGTTTAGGGTTTAGAGTTTAGGGTTTAGGGTTTAGGGTTTCGGGTTTAAATTTAGGGTTTAGGGTTTAGGGTTTAGGGTTTAGGGTTTAGGGTTTAGGGTTTAGGGAAAAAAGGGTTTAGGGTTTAGGGCTAGGCTTCCGGGCAAGAGCTCTTCTGCCTCGAAGCAGCTGCTGCTTGATTCGCCACCACCGAAAACCCTAAGACCATGACCTCCCTTTGGGTTGAGACCTTTGACCATATTTCTTTCTTTTAATGAGTGAATCAAGCGAGTTTTAATTTGGAAAATTACATCCAGGGGTATGGCAATTTACCAGTGAGTAGACCCCTGATGAGCCCCTGTCTCACTCCCTAGGAGGCGAGCTTCGCTACGCCGACCTCCCCTAAAGGGGGTGAGGTCTTATTTTGCATGAATTCAGGTTCTACGGAGTACGCTCACTGACCGCGCAAGTCGCCCGAAGCTGATGTATCTGACTACTGCTGGTCGAGACGACTCGTCCGAGCGCAGCCGGACGCCCAGAGAGCACCACGAAGCAAGCGGGGCACTTCCAGTCCTCCCCGGCGAGGCAGCCCCCCTCCAGAGTTCTTTTTGCATGAGTTGGACAACCCGTCAAGAAAAGGTGCACCTGGTCCTCTCCTGTGCGCGTCAGAAGCGCGTTCCAATAACGCAGAGCACGGGATCAGCAACGTAGGGGACAGATTGGTTTTAGAAGCCTTCCCATCCTTTGCGAGATCGCTTCTGGTGGGCTATCGCTCTAGAACTACAACCCTCCAAACAACTTTGACATTTACTACTACTTGCTTAAGAACTCCGAAAAAACACAGAATATTCTTCCTTAAGAAGGGTAATATAGGGATTATTATTGTTTAATTCTTTTGGGGTTTCTTTAAGCAAACACTTGTTTCTCAGCACAACGCAGATCGTGGCGCCTCAGCCACGCTGGACACAAGTTCACTGCCGGCATGAGAGCCAGATGTGTGAAGAAATCTGCATTGTGTCCTTGAACCCTAAACCCTAAACCCTAAACCCTAAACCCTGAACCCTAAAACTCTGCAACCTTAAACCCTAAGGCTCTTTGTAGCCCAGTATTCCATATTACAGTAAGTCAACAAGGGCACCCTTTTTGTGGGTTGGGTACTTTATAAGGGAACCCAGAGCAAAACAAAAAAACAAAAATAAAGGGTACCACTGGGCTGCCAAGGCCTTAGACCCTAAACCCTAAACCCTAAACCCTAAACCCTGAACCCTCAAAACCCCGGCCTTCTTCGTAAGCAGGCCTGCAGTCAGCCGCTCGAGGTACGTCGTGAGCATGGTGAAAGCTTGACCATCGCCTGAATTCAATCCTAAACCCTCAACCCTCAACCCTCAACCCTCAACCCTAAACCCTAAACCCTAAACCCCAAACCCTAAACCCTAAACCCTAGACCTTAAACTTAGCGAGGTCTCGTGTTGGAGCTTGCAGCGTTGCGGCTCTTGGGCGTTTCTGAAACCCCTTTCTCCCCAATTCAGATTTACTGCTGTAGCGTTTGGGCAATGGCCTCCCCTGTGCATAGGAGGCCTTCCTGTAAGCGGCTTCCGTGCTTGAACAGCGACAGAAAGATTCCCCCCGGCAAGCTGGTGGCCTCACCCCGTACAGGGGGCATCCCCACATGAGGGGCTTCGGCGCGACCGCACACGCGAAACCAGACCATTTTGCCCAGGGCTGCTTAAGGAAATAGGATTCGGATTTAGGGCATCCCCCCGTAAGGGGCTTCAGCCCCAATCGCGAAACAGCTCGTTGGTGTTGTGGCGACCAAGAACCCAATAAAAGCAGGGAACAAAATAGAAAGTTAGCCCCCTTGATAGGGAACAAAAAAGTAAGCCCCCTTGATAGAGGGGTTGCGGGTAGAAACCCAAAACCCTAAAAGGGTCTAGGGTGGGTGTAACTTGGCTGTTATTGGGGAACCCAGCCCCCTTAAGAAGCACAAAAGGGTACTCAGTTACCAGGGTTACGTGACCCGGACACTTTGTTCAAAGAGCTTGACCCTAAACCCTAAACCCTAAACCCTAAACCCTAAACCCTAAACCCTAAGCCCTAAGCCCTAAGCCCTAAACCCTAAGCCCTAAACCTTTTTAGGGTTGGAAGGGTTCGATTCATGATGTCATCTTCCAGTCCATCCACAGGCTGCCATTGCAAGGGGCGCCATCAGGGTCTTTGAAGGGGTTTAGGGGTTTGTTTAGGGTTTAGGGTTTAGGGTTTGGGGTTTGGGGTTTGGGGTTTGGGGTTTGGGGTTTGGGGTTTGGGGTTTCGGGTTTGTGGTTTGGGGTTTGGGGTTTGGGGTTTGGGGGAAGGGGAAGGGGGAAGGGGGAAGGGGGAAAGGGGAAGGGGGAAGGGGGAAGGGGGAAGGGGGGGGGGGGGGAAGGGTCACACGTGTTCATGCCTTTGGCGAAGATACCCAAAAAACTGGTATTGTTCGGTATGTTTTCCTCTCTGTAGACATCTTTGCCCTCTTTGTACGACATAAGCACGAAAAAGCTCTGTGCAGCGTTTTCGCCCGCAAAAGCGCTCAAAAAGCAAGCGCTTTGAAGATCGCACTTCGCAAGTGTCGAGCACGTCGCTGTGCGCAGTGTTTTTGCACGAAAGCTTGGGGGCAGTAGTGACTTCGAGGATTGACAAGACACGGCCAGCGAATGCGAGGTGCAACAACCTCGAGTTTTCCACGTTGTCCGGCATCCAACTCCAGAATCACACGCGCAAGACAGGCGGGTCTGCAAAAGAACGGCGTTGGTTTATTATAGGGCTTCGTCCGCCCCCAAACCCCAAACCCTAAACCCTAGAGTTTCTAACCCAAACCGCGCGATAAACGCTTCAACAGCCCGAACCGCTGGCGAAGCACTCCCCTTAGAACCTTAATAAAAAAATATACTCTTGGGTTTTATATAAACAAAAGAAAAAATATGCTTAATATACTCTTGGGTTTTATATAGACAAATTTAAAAAAAAATAGAATTAAGAATAATAATAATAATAATGATAATATGGTTAATATACTCTTGGGTTTTATATAAACAAAACTAAAAATTTAAAACAAAAAATCACAAGGGGGATATAGCTGGCGAAGCACTGCCGATCTGCTTCGTGACGCTGTGGCTCGGCGGGCTGGTCTTCGTCACTGTCTTCTGCGGCGCTTCGCTCTTGAGCCTTGGACATCCAGAAACTTCAACTAGAGGGCTCTTAAGGGTTTAGGGTTTAGGGTTTAGGGTTTAGGGTTTAGGGTTTAGGGTTTAGGGTTTAGGGTTTAGGGTTTAGGGTTTAGGGTTTAGGGTTTCATGCGGGCTAGGAATCGTTTCTTCGAGTAACTCTGCAAAGCCTGACAATCCTCCAAGCCCTGAATACAATCATGGGTGCCTTACAGAGTTGATGGGGTATATAGGGTTTAGGGTTTAGGGTTTAAGGTTTAGGGTTTAGGGTTTAGGGTTTAGGGTTTAGGGGTTTAGGGCTTAGGGTTTAGGGTTTAGGGTTTAGGATTGTTGAGGTTTGCAGGGTTTAGAGGGCATACGGGGACTTATAGGACTGCTCAGGGCTCAGGAGCTTGGATGAAGCAAAAGCCGCCACAACATGGATATTCGGAGAAGAACGATGGGGGGTTTCATAGGGAGCCCTAAACCCTAAACCCTAAAACCTAAACCCTAAACCCTAAACCCTAAACCCTAAACCCAAACAAAAACCGCTGCAACAGCGCGGCCTAGGATCTTGCACTTCAGCGAAGATGCCGGACCCGAGGGATGAATGTTGCACGTCCACGTGACTTTGTACAGCACGCAGCCATGGTTTGCATGACACCTTTTAGGGTTTAGGGTTTAGGGTTTAGGGTTTAGGGTTTAGGGTTTAGGGTTTAGGGTTTAGGGTTTAGGGTTTAGGGTTTCGTAGTCCCAAACTCGATCAGTCCAGCTTCAACTTTGAGAAAATGCAGGGAGAAAAGTCCTAAAACCCTCCTGAAGCCCTAAACCCTAAACCCTAAACCCTAAACCCTAAACCCTAGGTCTTAAACCAGGCCCAAGGTTCCCAGGTGGGCTGGACTCCTGCGTCCGACAGCTGCACTGTGCCTTGGCAGAGCGAACACCTTGGTAGGCCAGTAACCATCGGTGGGGGAGTTTGGGGTTTGGGGTTTAGGGTTTAGGGTTTAGGGTTTGGGGTTTGGGGTTTGGGGTTTGGGGTTTTGGGTTTAGGGTTTAGGGTTTAGGGTTTGGGGTTTAGGGCACTAAGGGACCCCGTCTTTGGTTGCTTGCTGAATGAGCGAACCCAGAAGCAAAAAAAGAAAAGGCAAAAGGCGCCACGGGGCTACCAAGATACTGGTCCCATCGACCACATAGTCCTCTCCACCTGAGCACGGTAAGAAGTTCGGAAGGTTTCGGGCTGATGGCTAAGGGCTGAGGGCTTCGGGTTTTTAGGGCTTTATGGGGTTTAGGGTTTAGGGTTTAGGGCTTAGGGCTTAGGGCTTAGGGTTTAGGGCTTAGGGTTTAGGGCTTAGGGTTTAGGGCTTCGTTGGGGCTTCGGGCTCGGCATCCTAAGGTCAGGGCAGTCGATCGTCAGGACGTCTGTCGTTCTTCCATTGTGCCTTATTTCTCCAACATCCACGGAATTAACTTAATCATAATCATACTAAAAATAATACTAAAACTAACTCAGAATCATCATAATCATAATAACAATAATAAAGAAAAAGAGGTTAAACCTTACTACTCTCACTTTAACCCTAAGCCCTAAGCCCTAAGCCCTAAGCCCGAAGCCCTAAACCCAAAAAAAGCTTGAAAGCGCCCACTCTTGGCCAAGTAAGGTGCTGCATGGGGCTGGATATTTGATCCGTCCAATCGGTTGGGGCTGGATTGAAGTTTGCCACGATGACGTTGCTATTGACCTTCGTTAGGGTTTCGGGCTTAGGGCTTAATTAGGGTTTGCGGGTTAGGGTTTTGGGTTTTGGGTTGTGGGTTTTAGGCCTTTAGGGCTTTGGGGTTTTGGGGCTTTAGGTTTTTAGGGTTTTAGGGTTTCAGGGTTCTAGGGTTTTGGGGTTTCAGGGTTTTAGGGTTTTAGGGCTTTAGGGTTTTAGGGTTTTAGGGTTTTAGGGTTTTAGGGTTTTAGGGGTTTAGGGTTTTAGGGTTTCGGGTTTTAGCAAAGATTTCACGGCCGCACCCATGTGTCCGCCTTGTTGCTCGATGGCCCGCATGTCGTTGACAAAAAGCAGATTCTTCATTTCCAGCCACATAATTGGGATGTTCCCCCTTATACTAACAGCCCTATTCAGTACTATCATCCCTATCCGCCGGCCTTGGGTTGCAGGTGTCTAAGGAGCAGAAAGCAGGCACCCCACCTCTAACTCCCTCCCCAACATGCCTTAACCACTTGCGCGCCCCTCGTTTGCCACTTTTTTTTGTGGAATGGGTACCCCCCCGCCCGACAGTGTGCGGGAGTTTTGGGCCCCCCCACGACCCTGGCATTGGGCAGCACATCGGCTCAACAATGACAGAAGGGGATTTGCTTTTAGGGTTTAGGGTTTAGGGTTGAGGGTTTAGGGTTTAGGGTTTAGGATGTCTTCACATGTGGCTGTGCAGGCCCCGGCCGAGGCGGGTCGCGTAGCGTTAAAATCAAGGACTGTGAGTACAAGGGCGAACGTCCCAACCCCACAACCAGAACGAACAATCCACATGTGCGCCCCCCCCCCCCCCCCCCCCCCCGCCAGACCACAGCTATTCTCGTGTTGATGTCCAAAACCCTAACTCCCGATTTACAAACTCCACAATCCAAACTCCAGGCATTGAACACTTTGCCAGATCCTTCCTGTGCAGCAAGGGGGCCTAGTCTCAGAGACACGGGCCCGAGCATATTTGGACATTTGGGTTGTGGGTCTTAAACAAAATTTGAAAATTCAAGTCCTCAAGACAAGGGCCCTGGAATTAAAATTTGCAGCTAAAGAAGCATGGCTGGGTTTCAAGAACATGGTGCAAAATCATGGGCACCATGAAACAAATGGCCCATGGCTTTTCTATTACATGAAGCTCACTTATAGAAGTACACTCTTGAAAATTGTCTGGATTGGGTTTCGGCGCTCGAGACGGAACTATTGTTGTCGTTGTTACTTTAGTTTAATGAATACAACTGGCCCTCATGACAAAATCTACCCGGTTGTAAAAGCTATTCAATGAATATAGCTAGCCTCAATTCAAAAAAAAAGGCCAGCCGCGGTTATCATAGTTGTTTTACATCGGTGGTCCCAGCATCTGTCCTTCATTCTCTTCCGACATTCCCGGCCAGTCCAAAAATATGAACCCAAAGTAGTAGCCAACCTCCAATTACGCTAGTCCAAGAAGCCGAACCAAACACAGTTTCAGCATGGGCTGGGGTTCCGGATATGCCCGACCGTTTAAGTGGTAGCACGCATTGAAGAATTGAACGTGACCTCCAAGTATACTAGCCAACCCAAGTCAAGCGTTTACATTGCTGCCAGAATTGCTTCAACATAGGGGATTCGGGTTAGGGTTGAGGGTTGAGGGTTTAGTGTTTCGGCTGTTTGGGGTTTAGGGGCAGGATTTCTTCAATACCAGTTAGGTTTGCCAAGACGATCTGGAACCTTCAAAGCTTTGTGGCCTGACAAGTGCTTCATGCCATCACCTCATCCCTACAGCCAAGACATTGTTCATCTTAGGGTTTAGGGTTTAGGGTTTAGGGTTTAGGGTTTAGGGTTTAGGCTTTAGGGTTTAGGGTTTAGGGTTTCGGGTTTAGGGTTTTCATCTTTAGCCATCCGGCACACCCGTCACTTCGGGTGCTCGATCCCGAAACGGAATGGGCCCCAAAACCATTTTATTCCCATGCTAAACATCGCACTCTTATTGGGAGTCTAGCCCCCCCCCCCCCCCCCCCCCCCGCCCCAATTGTTGGTATTAGGATTTAGGATAGAAATTTAGGATTTTCCAAGCGGATGACACTGGGAAGTCAGGTCCCCGTCGCATTTCAGCTTCCTCTCCTCGCTCTGGCAAACTGGCAGTGCTGAGGTCCCCGACGGGGCTGAAGGCATGACGTCCGTGCACACACACACACACACACACCCACGCACCCACGCACCCACGCACCCACGCACCCACGCACCCACGCACCCACGCACGCACGCTCGCTCGCTCGCTCGCACGCACGCACGCACGCGCTGGGGTTTCCGAAATTAGGGATAGCCGGATTCTTGGGGTCCTGATTATAAGGGCTTCCTACTATTTGGGGATCTACATTGGGAGGTCCCTATTTTTCGTAAACCCCCACATGCACTCTGATCTTAGCTTTCAAGCCTGAGATCGCGGCCGTTGGTGAGCGTTGGTTGCAGTGGAAGATGGCGCCATCTTCTCCGTGCAGGAGCTTGCTCGGGATCACCTCGACTACCGCTGTTCAGGAAGGTGAAACTAAGTCAGCATACACATAGACATAGAAATCACGGAATCAAGTAATACATCATGTCTCATGACAGCTGCGTTTTCAGTTCCTCAACAGCCGCCGGGTCACAAGCACAGAATTCTCGGTCGCGACGTTTCTCTGCCGCCACCGGGCCATTGTGTCCACGATGCCGTACCTCTGGACATCGACGCAATCTGGTCAATCTGAGGGTCCAGGGTTTGAGGTTTAAGGGTTAAGGGTTAAGGGTTAAGGGTTTAGGGTTTAGGGTTTAGGGTTTAGGGTTTAGGGTTTAGGGTTTAGGGTTTAGGGTTTAGGGTTTATGGTCGCTCATAGTCCCTATATAGGTGTGCTATCATCTCCCCCCCCCCCCCCCCCCCCAACATCCTATTCTAAGTATTGAGGCCCCCCTTTATTACGCCTTCCAAACAGGGGCTCCTCTGCTTCGTAGGGGCCAGACTCAAAGCCAAACCTAGGGACCGATGTCCATCTTGAGGTTAGTATTATAGTCATTATAGTCATTTGAGTCATTATCGTATTATCGTCATTATCGTCATTATCGTCATTATCGTCATTATAGTCATAATAGAGTCATTCTATATAGTCATTGTAGTCATGACATAGTCATTATCGTCATTACAACCATTCTAGTCATTCTAGGCAGAAACATTCTAGTCATTCTAGTCACTATAGTTATGATGATGGTTATGATTCTGATACGGTGCGAAGCCGGGGTCTGGGGTTTGGGGTTTGAGGGTTTAGGGATTAGGGATTGCTCAGAGTTTAGTTAGGGTTTAGGGCTTAGGGTTTAGGATTTAGGGTTTAGGGTTCAGGGTTCAGGGTTTAGGGTTTAGGGCTTAGGGTTTAGGGTTTGACCCTAAAATCCTAAAACCCTGAAAACCCGGAAACCCGGAAACCCTGAAACCCTAAAACCCCAAAACCCTAAAACCCTAAAGCCCTAAAGCCCTAAAACCCTAAAACCCTGAAGCCCTAAAACCCTAAAACCCTAAAACCCCTAAACCCTGAAACCCTAAAACCCTAAAACCCCAAAACCCTAAAACCCGAAAACCCGAAAAACCCAGAACCCTAAAACCCTAAAACCCTAAAGCCCTAAAACCCTAAAGCCCTAAAGCCCTAAAACCCTAAAGCCCTAAAGCCCTAAAGCCCTAAACCCTAAACCCTAAACCCCAAACCCTAAACCCTAAACCCTAAACCCTCCTAAGCAGGCCTGAACGCAGCAGCTGCACAGGAATCCAAGGGCCGGTAGCGACCCAACATGGGCGCCTGACAGGGTTTAGGGTTTAGGGTTTCGGGTTTAGGGTTTAGGGTTTAGGGTTTGGGGTTTAGGGTTTGGGGTTTAGGGTTTAGGGTTTAGGGTTTAGGGTTTAATTTTTAGGGGTTAGGGGTTAGAGACTAGGGTTTAGGGTTTAGGGTTTCGGGGGGGCTTAGTGGTTTAGGGGCTTATGAAAGGAGGCTTTAGGGCTTCCAGGCCTAGTAGCCCAGCACTCATATTCTGACAAGGACGCCCTTTTTGGGGTTGGCTACTTTGTAGGGGAACCCTTGAACCCAAGAAAAGGGGAAAAGGGCACCACTAGGCGACCAAGTCTACTAAGCACAAGGCCGCAGGGCACCATCTGCCTTGCGGAAATTGTGTGGGGTTTCGGGGCGCATTTTCCCGAGCGCGTCGTCGTTTTGGCCTTTTTGCCTCCTTCTAAATCGGATTTTGGGCAAGTGGCCCCAAACCCCAAACCCTAAACCCTAAACCCTAAACCCTAAACCCAACCTCCGACACTTCTGGGGCCTCCGTTTGGGGAGGAGCCTTTTCTTGGAGGCGGATCGATGGTGTGCCGACTTCTTTTGACAGATGGCTTCTAGGCCGGAATGGAAAGGGTGCCCTTCTGGTTTTGAAAGGGGCTTATAAGGGAACCTAAACCTTAAAAACGGGAAGAGGGTCCTCGGCTTTGGGAAACAACAAAGAAAAACACCCTCTCAAGTTTAGTGCTTTGTTGAGGGTTTAGGGTTTTAGGGTTTAGGGTTTAGGGTTTAGGGTTTAGGGTTTAGGGCTTAGGGTTTAGGGTTTAGGGTTTAGGGTTTGGGGTTTAGGGTTTAGGGTTTAGGGTTTAGGGTATAGGGTTTAGGGTTTGGGTTTAGGGTTTAGGGCTTAGGGTTTAGGGTTTAGGGTTTGGGGCTAAACCCCAAACCCGACACCCTAAACCCTAAAATGTCGAATCACAACTGCATCACATCCACGGGGGAGTTATTTCACTAAGAGGTTTACGAGACTGCCCTAAAACCCGAAATCTCAACGCCCGACATCCTAGAACCCCAAAAGCCCTTAGACGCCCAAAACGCTAACAGCACCCCAGAACCCTGAAGCCCAAACCCCAAACCCTCAACCCTAAACCTAAACCCCAAAACCCTAAACCCTAAACCCCAAACCCTAAACCCTAAAACCCTGAGCCCCTTAGCGCAAACCCCTGCGTGCCTCGAGGATGGTGGCCCTGAGGCTGTCCTCCGCCAGCCGCACCTAGGGTTTAGGGTTTAGGGTGTTTAGGGTTTAGGGTTTAGGGTTTAGGGTTTAGGGTTTAGGGTTTAGGGTTTAGGGTTTAGGGTTTAGGGTTTAGGGTTTAGGGTTTGCAGGGCGGGCAGCAGGGCAGGGCAGCAGGGGGTTTAGGGATTGGGGTTTAGGATTTCAAGCTTTAGGGTCTGGAGTTTTCAGGGTTTTCAGGGGGGAGGGCTTAGGGCGTTAGGCCTTTAGGACTTAGAGTTTTAGGGCTTAGGGTTTAGGGTTTAGGGTTTAGGATTTAGGGTTTAGGGTTGTAGGCCACACAGCGCGATGCCGGAGCCGGCCTTTGTCTCTGCAAGGTTGTTCTTGAAGTCGTCGAGGTTCTGCAGGTAGGCGCCGATTGTCTCCTGGTTTTGGGGCTTAGGCTTTAGGGTTTAGGGTTTAGGGTTTAGGGTTTAGGGTTTAGGGTTTAGGGTTTAGGGTTTAGGGCTTAGGGTTTAGGGTTTAGGGTTTAGGGTTTAGGGTTTAGGGTCTCCCCCTAAACCCTAAACCCTGCCAGAAGGACCGGGACTGAGCTTGCAAGCGTCGTAGTTGGGGAAGCGGGCGAGGTAGCTCTCCAACATGGCATCCATGTACATCATGGTTTCCTTGGTGGCCGACAGGTTTGGGGTTTAGGGTTGAGGGTTTAGGGTTTAGGGTTTACTTAGGGTTTCGGGTCTAGGACTCAGGGTTTAGGGTTTAGGGGAACAGTCATGTTGTACTGTTTTGGTGGGCCCCCCCCTCCCCCCCCCCCCCGCGCCTGTTTAAAGTCAAGTTTGCTGCGCAACTCAGGACACTGTGACTGTTTGGGGGTGCACTGTGGGGTCCTCCATTAAGTCAAATCGCCCGGCTGTCGTACGACAACTTCGTGCGACGCGACGTTCGGTGGGCGGGGGGACCCACGCACCATAACAGGTTCAAGGTTTTAAGGTTTAGCGATACTTTAGAAGGAGAACCTACACCCAAAAAAGGGCGGCAGGGTACCACTCGGCCACCAAGTGTCGACGAACCGTGCCAACATGTAGTCCCCATCCAGCTTCGACGTCATCTCGGTGATGAAGGCATCCATCTCCAGAAACACTGTTCGTATTTCACGAGTATTCACCCAGTCAGTTGCCTCAGCCTGGAGAAGGAGTTTGAAGTGCAGGTAGAGCAGGCCGCCCTCGGAAAGTATCCCGGTCAGATCCTGGTTGTGTTGTCACCGCTCAACATGCAACCAAAACCTTGCATTTGATTGGGTTGGCTCTTTTTTGGTCTCCTAGTGCAACACGGAGCCTTAGATTTACAACACCCGTAGCAAGACCACCCTAAACCCTAAACCCTAAACCCTAAACCCCAACAGCGCAGAAGAGTGTAGAGCCCAGAATCAGCAAAGGCATCACGCGCGCGGCCCCAACTGTTCTGCAGCTGTTCCTGTGACCTGGCCTGCAAGGAGACAGACTCTTCCTGGCACAGGGTTTAGGGTTTAGGGTTTAGGGTTTAGGGTTTAGGGTTTAGGGCTTAGGGTTTAGGGTTTAGGGTTTAGGGTTCAGGGTTTGGGGTTTAGGATTTAGGCGGGGTTTAGGGTTTAGGGTTTAGGGTTTAGGGTTTAGGGTTTAGGGTTTAGGGTTTAGGTTTAGGGTTTAGGGTTTAGGGTTTAGGGTTTAGGGTTTAGGGTTTAGGGTTTAGGGTTTAGGGTTTAGGGTTTAGGGTTTAGGGTTTAAGGTTTAGGGTTTCGTTACAAATTTGGGGTTGGGGGTAGGGGAGAGAGCGCCGCGGGTGCCAGTGTGTAGGGCAAGTTCTATCGGATCTATCGCAGCATCACGCCCGGCTGAACCTAAACCCTAAACTTTAAACCCTAAACCCTAAACCCTGAACCCTGAACCCTAAACCCCAAACCCTCAACCCTGAACCCTAAGCCCTGTCCTTCCACTGTTGCATCGCCGCCTCGCCTTGGCCACGGAAAGGCCGCTTGATACCACGGGCAACGTCAGCCTGGCATTGTGACGATCGATGTTCCGGCCAGACTCAACCTGGCGTAGGGAAGATGAACCCGGTTGAAAGTGCATGAGACCACGAACAGGCTTTAGGGTTTGGGGTTGAGGGGTTGGGGCTTAGGGTGCAGGGTGTAGGGTTTGGGGCTAGGGTTTAGGGTTTAGGGTTTTTGTGGCGTAATAAGGAGTATGTAGGGGATTAAGGGTAATAACAGCCAAAAAATGTGTGTTCAAACCCGTCCCTGCAACGATGTCTTCATAGGCTCCACGAATGACTGCTGCGGCTGCAGAAAAGCGTGCCTCAGCAAAGCTCCCTAAACCTTAAACCCAAAACCCACACATGCAAAGCCTCTAGAATGGTACATGCCTTGAACAGATGTCAAACAAAGGCGCGCTAGAGGCTACTACCAAGCCCATGGCCGAAAGAATGTTTCCACACATGAACATTTTGTATCTTAGGCTTTAGGGTTTAGGGTTTTGGGTTTAAGGTTTAGGGTTTAGGGTTTTGCATCTGTTCCCCCCACATTCGGAACACGCATATGGGGTCATCATCTCAAAGCAATCTGGCAGCCTCCTCAAAAAGGCAGCATGTACGAGGGTTTGTTGTATACCAAGCAAGAAACCTCATGTAGAGAAGCACTGGCACAAAAATTAAATCGGGCAGGCCAAATTAATCCTTAAAAGCCTTATGCGACAGTCTGTAGATGAGCACATCCCAGATGTAAAAGGCGCGACTGACATGCTTCGGGTGATTTGCATCAGAGTGATCGGTTTAGACAGTGACCCCCTGAAGGAGAACAAAGATGTACACACATGTGAGTTACGCCTGGGGAGGTCGGGGGCCAGGCTGCATATTTGCAAAGTATGACGAGATAGCAAGAATGCTGCATCGAGCACTGTGCCCCGCGTACCAGAGTTTGAGAAGCTGCCCTCCATTGCCTGACCCTTTGGTTCTTTGTAGGGAATGAGGTTTAGGGTCTAGGTTTAGGGTTTAGGGTTTAGGGTTTAGGGTTTAGGGTTTAGGGTTTAGGGTTTAGGGGTTGAGGGTTTTAAGGATTAGGGTTCGTCATTCCCGACTGAGAACCACCAAGCTGATTTCAGACTTGGCCGGGGAGGCAGCCAAGCGAGATGCTCAGTCAGATGAACCCGGTTGAAAGCGCATGAGACACGAACAGGGTTTAGGGTTTAGGGTTTAGGGTTTTGGGTTTTGGGGTTTAGGGTTTAGGGTTTAGCGTTTCTTGTAGCACAACACCTACATCATGGGAACACTGAGAACGACAAGGCGCGAAGAAATGTTGAGATATTCATCCGAAGTATGGTTGTGCCGCGGAACAATGACAGAAAAAACTCAATGCCGACAAGGTGATGAACAAGAGCTTGCCTTTCATTGAACAGCTTATTCAGCGAGCATGGACAAGCAAATCACGGTTTGAAGAGAAAAAGAGAGGCGAGAGTTGTGGGCTGCAATCTAAGTACACCACCTTCTTTCAGTGGGATGTAGACCACCATAAGCTCCAGGAAGATATATGACAGGCAACACATAGAGATGTGTATATTCTTCCTGCAGGGAACTGAGACAACCTGCAAATATGTTGGTGCTAGTTGCTACTCACAGAGGAACCGCCTTTAGAATAGAAGGAACTATGACCATCCAAGCGTAGAGCAGATGCGAGAGTTGTAAGACTTTAGATGCAAACCACTAGAGAACATGCTCATTGACTTGTTGGGTTGGAGAGTTGGGTGAGTTTCGAGTGAAGAAAGATGGGATCAGCCGCAGCCGTCTTGAGCGCTTTAAGGACTTTGATGCGGGGATTGAAGATGGAAAGCTCTCAGAAGACGCTGGCCTACAACTGTCAGAAAACTACTATTTGCTTAAGAACCCCAAAAGAACAAAAAATGATGTTCCCTTTATTGCCTTTATATGGAAGAATATATTTTTTGTTGGGGGTTCTTAAGCAACTACTAGACAAGCGTCGACGCCCAGACCTCCAATCGGAAAACGGGAGGACCAAGTCAGAAATGTGCCCATCGTATTCTCAAAACGCAGGAAGATGAAGCAGCAAACGTGGAAGCCGAGTCAGAAAAACGCACCGGACCGAAAAAGGCCGCAGATACGAGCCAGGTAAGTCAGTCTAAGATTCGTGCTCAAAAGCTCCAATCGGAAAATGCGAAAACGTCAGTCGGAAACGTGCAACCAGAAAACAAGAGGCTCAGTGCGAGCGAAAACACAACACCGCAACCCGACACCAGAAGAAAAGCTTGATCATTTTGTCGATCGCTTCCGAAGGCTCCAGTCTGAACATAGGGCTTAGGGCTTAGGGTTTAGGGTTTAGGGTTTAGGGTTTAGGGTTTAGGGTTTAGGGTTCAGGGTTTAGGGTTTAGGGCTCCATGCGAAAGACAAACGAAACGCAACCGCAACCGGAGAATTAGCATGCTTTCCCACTGAGTTTAGGGTTTAGGGTTAGGGTTTGGGTTTAGGGTTTATGAGGGTTTCGGGGTTATAAGTACAGTCATAGTTGGTTAATAAGTACCATGAACCTCCAAGTATACCGCTACTCAAAGGAGCCGTCTCTAGGTTCATGGCGGAGCCATTGCCAGACGCGACATCGTTTCGGGATATGGAGGCTTGAAAACAGCCCTCCCGCCTGAATGCTGATATCATAAAGTCCCCCCTAAACCCTAAACCCTAAACCCTAAACCCTAAACCCTAATCCCGTTTGAGCCAAGACAACCCATCACATCTTCATCCTCCGACTGGTTCTTAGTAGGGAGTGAGGGTATGAGCCCCATTTCCTTCTTCGAGAGGGCTCTTATACATACAGGGGGATGTAAGGTACCTAGTTCCCCCATGCCCCACAAAGAACCCTAAACCCTAAACCCTAAACCCTAAACCCTAAACCCTAAACCCTGAACCAGTAGGTTTTTTGACTGTGACGAGCCACCAGGAGCTCCCGGTAATGCGCAGCCTCTGCCTCTTCCATGCTTTTTGACAGCTTGTTGGACAGCAGATCGAGCTTCCTGGGTTTAGGGTTTAGGTGTTTAGGGCTTAGGGTTTAGGGTTTAGGGTTTAGGGTTTAGGGTTTAGGGTTTAGGGTTTAGGGTTTGGGGGTTATACGAGTAAGGCCTGCTACTCGGGAGTAGATTGATACTATTTCTGAGCCCAAAGCCCAAAGGGTCTGAGTATTGAACGTCCCAGGTTCGCACTCAACGTCGCAGTGTTTCTGCTGATTGCGAGAAGGCGGTTGTCCAAGTTTGTTTCGATCTGCCTCATCGCTTCTTGCCCTTCGCGCACTTGGTTCGCCAAAGACGTCAGCATCTGCTTGGTCTCTGCATGGTTTACTCGCATCTGGTCCCCCACAGCAGCCACCATGTTCTCAACATCGGTAATCTGGCCTTGCACGTCCCCCAAAGTCTGCTCGATTCCCTCCAGTTTCCTGGGCGCTCGTCTGCATGGCTAGCCCTGTCTCGAACCAACCGACCCACAACAGACCTACCAAACGGTGAGAAGCAACTGCAGACCCGAAGGCCCTAGGCGGCGCAAACTACGATTCTGCCCTATGTTCTAGAGTTTAGGGCTTAGGGTTTGGGGTTTAGGGTTTCGGGTTTAGGGGTACTGCTACTACCACTAAACCCTAAACCCTAAACCCTACACCCGAATGAACTTGAAAGTCAAGTAGCTCCAAGGTCATCTCAGCAGCCATCCGATTGCAGTCGTCTGCGGCAAAGTTCTCCGCGTCGTGCACCTTCTCGATTCCGCCTCGACTCTAGGCTTCGGGATCGCCAGAAGTGAACGAAGGGTTTAGGGTTTAGGGTTTAGGGTTTAGGGTTTAGGGTTTAGGGTTTAGGGTTTAGGGTTTAGGGTTTAGGGTTTAGGGTTTAGGGTTTAGGGTTTAGGGTTTAGGGTTTAGGGTTTAGGGTTCGGGATCACCAGAAGTGACAGAATGTCTCTGATGAAAGCCGAAAGTGTGACCTAGAAACAATAGCTGCAGTAGCAACAACGGCGGTCAGCGTACTTGCAGTACCATGGGTTGTAGGACAAGTAAAACTAGGGTGGGCTTGGGGGCCCTACAAAATTAGAATTTCTATGGCTTTATAAGGATTAAAATAGGGGACTTAGGGGAATAAACATTAATAATGATGTTCAAACCTACCCCGCCGAAAAGTGGCAGCTCAGCGGCCGTTGACAGCATCCATGATCGCACTGCCAGCGCTCATGCCTCCACATACCGCAGCCACGACAAAATCGCTGCTGTGGTTTGCCCTCTGCTGCAAGGACACCTCGCCTTTGTCCTTGGCCGTGGGGAATGGTTGGGAAAGGTCTGGCTCTTATGCTTTAGGTGCGCATCTACGGCTCGAGCTCTAGGAGGTGCGCGGTGAGTAAAGCTATTTTCAGCCACAAACCCTCACAGTGTAGCCCCCCCCCAACTTCGCAAGAACTGAATCTTCCGTTTGGCTCCCCATTGTTCTGACTACGCCTACTGATCTCACGGCTCTTCTTGCCGTACCAACTGTTTGGCTCTGTCGCCTGACTTGCGACTGTTGTGCGTTCAGTTGGATGGTTGGTATCTTGTTCTCTTGCTGTTGCCCTAAACCCTGAACCCTTAACCCCAATATTGTTGCACATTTATTTACTTTCTTCACATCTGCCCACAGTAGAAACAGGTTTGCCCAAGAAATGCTCACGTCTGTCCACAACATTCCGGTAGAGCCACCCGGAGCCTTTCTGGGTCTTTTAGGCAACATTCCGGCACGGCTGCCCTGCGCTCCGGCTCCCCGGCCTGCTTACACGCCCGGGCATCCCGTTTGCTTCATTAAGGCAACCTTTCGGTGCCGCTTGAGCTTTCTGGCCCTGCTTCATTAAGGCAAGACAGGTGCCGGCCTGCTTATTACTGGTTCTTAGTAGGGCATGAGGGAATGAGGGCCCTCTGTAGTCCCTATATAGGGCCCTCATTCCCTCATTCCCCAACATTCGCCTGCAGTCGCCTGAGTCTCTCTGGCCTGCTTATTCAAGTCACATGATGCGGGCCGCGTTGTCCTTGAAGTCTAACAACCCCGGAAATATGTTCCTGATGTTGAGGGGCCCAATGGGTGTGTGGGTATGATTCAGGTTGCTGATAAGCTGCTGGACTAGCGAAGGCTTCGGCTTGAGACGTTAAACCCTAAACCCTAAAAACTTACAGTATCTTGAAATCCTCAACCCTAAACCCTACACCCTACACCCTAAACCCTAAACCCTAAACCCTAAACCCTAAACCCTAAACCCTAAACCCTAAACCCTAAACCCTAAACCCTAAACCCTAAACCCTAAACCCTAAACCCTAAACCCTGTCCAGGGCGCCGAAAGCAACCCGAGGCCGCACATGTCGGCCCCAAAACCAAATGCATCCTCATGGTTTCAGGTTTTTATAGGGTTGGTAAGGGGCTTAGGGCTTAGGGTTCCTCCAAGGTTTAGGGTTCAGGGTTTAGGGTTCAGGGTTTAGGGTTCAAGGCTTTTGGATGTTTGTGGGAGTGTTGGGGTTGAGTTACTTAGACTTCGGGCTTCAAGGCCGTGGGGTGTCGGCATCCTTTGGTGATGTTGCGATCTGTCCTCGTTGTCGAGCCGGGGGGGCTGGTTTAGGGTTTAGGGTTTAGGGATCCCTTTTGGGGTACCCTAAATATTAGGGGCCGCCTTCTAGTAGTAACCCAAGAAATGACCACATGTTGTCTGAACAGGAGGCGGCCCAAGTTTGTAGGGAGGATCCGGTAACGGAGGGCAACCTACCACTTCGGGCGCAAGCGCAGGTTTGGGGGCCCTGCAAAAATTAAACGTTTATGGGTTTTTAAGAATTTTCTAGGGGGTTGAGGGAATGCAAATTATTCAAAAAAAATGTTCCAACCTACCCCTGTTAGGGTTTAGGGCTTGATCCGGTACCACGATTTGCAGTTAGGTGAACTTGCACACGTGATTTTAACAAAGGCCCACAAGGAGCCTTCGTATTCCAGAACCTCGGAAGAACATGCGCCTCAACATCATGAATCTTGCAGATGGGTGTTTCACAAAATCAGTGGAGGGGGGGGGGGGGTAGGGCGAGGGTGTACCTCAATCTTATGCCCTTCTTAAGACACCCTGATATAGATATCCTAAGTTGGGGGACCCCCCATGCGGTGTAAAACGCAACCCGGGGTTTGGGATCTTCTCCTGGCTTTTCGTAGGCAATGGGGGGAAATTACTACTATTTGCTGAAGAGCCCGCAAAGAAGAAAAAATGATATAATCCCTATATTACCCTTAGCAAGGAAGAATATTTCCATTTTTCCGGGGTTCTTAAGCAACTAGTAGACTAGGGAGGATACCTCGTTCCCTCCTTCCCTACTACGAACCGGCCAGGCGTTTCTGCCAAGTGGCACCTAACCAGCCAAAGGGACCTGAAGTAGGTTTAGGGTTTAGGGTTTAATTAGGGTTTAGGGTTTAGGGTTTAGGGTTTAGGGCTTAGGGCTTAGGGCTTAGGGCTTAGGGCTTAGGGCTTAGGGCTTAGGGCTTAGGGCTTAGGGCTTAGGCTTTGTGGCTTGCGGTCACGTCCAAAGTTCCAAGTGTGGGCCCTTGCGTTGGATTGTAAGTCCCTCATATACACTCTATGGAATAAGGGCCATTTTGGGAGATGTCAGGGGAACTCTAGGTTAGGCTCACAGTCAACCCCTAAACCCTAAACCCAATAAAGTGCCCCCAAGGGCCTACCAGCTAAGATTTTAACCTTAACTGAGGCAGTCAGACTCGTGGATGGTATGAAGGTGGGGGGGCTGGGCTTTCGATACTTGAAGCTTCAGGGGCACCTGCAAAAAACTACCCGTAAACCTCCAAGAAGGGGGTTCAGGGGTCGGCGGGCTTCGGAAAGCGCACCTGCCATCTGCTTCTGGCGGGCCAGGCGCTCGGCCTCCTTCTGAAAGCATTCCTTGACCTGCCCAGAACCCTAAACCCTAAACCCTAAACCCTAAACCCTAGGCCCAAAAATCGACTCGTTCAAAAAGCTCTTTGGGGCCAGGGTCCGGGGGCCGGAGTGTGAAGAGCCCTCGCTTTGCGGTCTGTCTTTGATGGCCAGGCCGGGCCGAAAGCACATGCACTTATGTGCGATGGAAGATCTTGACTTGTAGGATGCACTTCGAAGATTGCACGCACAGCAACATACTTCAGTTTCCTTAAATAAAGGTCGTTTCGGGGGTCCTTGTTGTAGGTCTTCTACGGGCTTCAAAAACGGGACCCTAACTTAGAGAACGACCCATATGGTAGGTCCCTCAAGTCTGGTTTATGGTGTCTTTGTCAGGGTCCTTTTCTGATATGGAGCCCCAAAATTTTCAGGGCGCCCCACAAGTGATCCCTAAACCCTAAACCCTAAACCCTAACCCCTAAACCCTACACCCTAAACCCTGAACCCTAAACCCCAAACCCTAAACCCTCAACCCTCCAGCGAGGTTGGCGAGCTCAGCCAGGTCGGTTGGCGCTTTGCCCCCCATGAGCTTCGGAGGCGCCCCCCTAGAGGAAATTCATTTGGCCCCCCATTTCATGTATTGCCTGGGCGAACTATAACTTGCCATGGCTTTGGGGGCTTGGGGTGTCCCAAAAAGCCCTAAACCCGAAACCCTAAACCCTAAATCCTGAACCCTAAACCCTAAACCCTGAACCCTGAACCCTAAACCCTAAACCCTAAAACCTGAACCCTAATCCCTGACCCCTAAACCCAAAACAAGGCCCCCTGACCCCTTCAGAGCCTTGTCGGCGGCTCCGGAAACCTGGACGCCAGTCTTGAGGCTCCAGGCACCTGACCTCGAGACACGTTGAGAGTGTTGGGCAGTTACCCTAAACCCTAAACCCTAAACCCTAGAGCCTAAACCCTAAACCCTAAACCCTGAACCCTGAACCCTAAACCCTAAACCCTAAACCCTATCCCTTAACTAAACCCTAAACCCTAAATGTAGGGGTTTCGGGATGCTCGGGGCTTCAGGCTCAGGGTCTAGCGACGTTTTAGGGTTTAGGGTTTACGTTTTGGTGTGTGGGGTTTTGGGTTTGGGGCTTCATCCGGGTTTAAGGTTGTAGGGTCTTGGGGGTTTAGGGTTTCAGGGCTGAGGGCTTTCTTGCACCTCAGGGCGGGTGAGCTTCAGAGCGCCAAGGGGTGCGGTACCTTGCATCACTCCAAACGCAGCTTCTTGCAACCCTTCACTTCAACCCCAAGCACCTAGGTCCCTCAAAAGGGATGCCCCTTACATACCCTATACAACCCAGGGGCCCATGCATCAGAACCCTTTAAAGGAGGTAAGGGACCACATTCAGGGACCATGTAACTGCCCTTAGATAGCCCAAAACCGAAAACCCCCAAACCCAGAACCCCCTCAACCCCTGAACCCCCCCCCCCCAATCCTAAACCCTAACTCCCCCCCCCCCAAAAAAAAAAAAACACACACACACACACACAAAGCCCGAAACCCAGCAAACCCTAAACCCCCAAGGCCCTAAACCCAAGGAAAATCCTTCCGGTTGCACTCAGAGCTGCAGGATGCAACAAAAGCACACCACTGCCGGCTTCATTTCGGGCGGACAGGCCGGAACACCTGTGTTGGGACTTTGGGGGGGTTTAGGGTTTAGGGTTTAGGGTTTAGGGTTTAGGGTTTAGGGTTTAGGGTTTAGGGTTTAGGGTTTAGGGTTTAGGGTTTAGGGTTTAGGGTTTAGGGTTTAGGGTTTAGGGTTTAGGGTGATTTCGTGATTTCGTACGCACAGGCCAGGATGGGAACCCCCCTGGGTTGGGCCTTTTGGGGGGGGTTCAAGGTTTCCAAGATCTCAGCCTCCTAGCCCTAAACCCTAAACCCTAAACCCTAAACCCTAAACCCTAAACCCTAAAAACGAAACCCTAAACCCTAAACCCTTAACCCTTAACCCTTAAGGGACTCAGGGAGGGACCCTTATAAGGGACCTTAGGGGCTACTTAGGGGTTATTAAGGGGCGACTTAGGAATATAGGGACTCTGTAAGGTATATACCTTGCCGTCTGAAAACCTGCCTGGGACCCTCTTTGCCTACAGTTTACCTACTAGTTAAGGGGTACCTACTACTAAACTGTAGGCAAATAGAGTCCCAGGTGGAACCCTCAACCCTGGAAGTTGTAGGTTTAGGGTTTAGGGTTGAGGGTTTAGGGCTTAGGGTTTAGGGTTTAGGGTTTAGGGTTTAGGGTTTAGGGTTTAGGGTTTAGGGTTTAGGGTTTAGGGTTTAGGGTTTAGGGTTTAGGGTTTATAGGGTTTAGGGTTTAGGGTTTAGGGTTTAGGGTTTAGGGTTTAGGGTTTAGGGTTTAGGGTTTAGGGTTTAGGGTTTAGGGTTTAGGGTTTAGGGTTTAGGGTTTAGGGTGGGTTGGATTGCGAAGATTCTGGCGCTTGTGTCAGGAGCTTGTACCCTTGTACCGGTGCGTCAGTTCCTTCATGCACCTCCCCTAGGCCAAACCCCCGGCCATTTGATGCCGTAGGGCTTATGTTCTAGGATTTCTGGGTTTCGGATCTTGGGGTCTTGGGGTTTAGGGTCTTGGGATCTTCGGGTCTTGGGGCGTAGGGTTTTGAGCTAAGGCTTCAATTAAAGGTCTCAGGGTCCAGGGTCTCGGGAGGGCTCAGGCATGCGAAGCTCAGTCAAGGCACTGGAGGTCGGCTAAGAGGCCGTCCTGTGATTCCCCCGACTACTTCCGTGGTTTCAAGCGTCGGATATGGACTGCTCGGGCTCTCAAAAGGAGACGACGGTTTCGGGTTTAGGGTTTAGGGTTTAGGGTTTAGGGTTTAGGGTTTAGGGTTTAGGGTTTAGGGTTTAGGGTTTAGGGTTTAGGGTTTAGGGTTTAGGGCTTAGGGTTTAGGGTTTAGGGTTTAGGGTTTAGGGTTTAGGGTTTAGGGTTTAGGGTTTAGGGTTTAGGGTTTAGGGTTTAGGGTTTAGGCGGATTCTGCATGACAGCCCTAGCACGCAGAATCTCAACTTGCGCCTCCAACAAAGAGCTCCACGCGGATGGCACCTGGCCGGCCGTCTGTGGCTCCCCAGGCCACAGTTCCGAAGAGTGATCCCACAGCAGTATAGAGTACCCTAAACCCTAAACCCGAAACCCTAAACCCGAAACCACTAGTTGGACCCTAACCCTAAACCCCTACACCCCTACACCCCTAAATCCCTAAACCCCTAAACCCCTAAACCCCTAAACCCCTAAACCCTAAACCCTAAACCCCTAAACCCTAAACCCTAAACCCTAAACCCCTCTAAACCCCGAGGCCTCCAGCAGAGCTGGCTGCCAGCAGGCCCGTGCATTTTGAGCCATCATGGCAGAATGCGGAGGGATGATAGTGTTTAGTGCTTAGTGTTTAGGGTTTAGGGTTTAGGGTTTGGGGTTTAGGGTTTCGGGTTTAGGGTTTGGGGTTTAGGGTTTCGGGTTTAGGGTTTAGGGTTTAGGGTTTAGGGTGCTATGGTGTCCAGGCCCCTGAGCCGGACCCCAACCCCTAAATCCTAACGCCTAAACCCTTGTGACCTGCGCGCCGTCTCGGTTGCAGCGAAGCTGGGCAGAAGTTCCAGCGTTCGTCTTGCGTACGTCGGCTTGGGGCAGCTCGTCTCTCGTCTGCAAGGCTTAGGGTTTGGGGTTTAGGGTTCAGGGCTTAGCGGTTAGAGTTTAGGGTTCAGGGTTGCCCCGGTAGAGACGCAAGCCCCGGTAGAGACGCAAGCCAAAGCATGGTATGCAGGGTCGACGACGGGTGAAGGGCGTTGCCTAGCGAAGGACGGAAGTGTGAGCTGCAGAGGGTTTAGGGCTTAGGGTCTTAACGTATGAAGGTATGAGGGTATTAGGGTATTCGGGTGTGAGGGTGGCGGGTGCTCTGGCCAGAGCCGATAGGGTTGAGGGTTGAGGGTTGAGGGTTGAGGGTTGAGGGTTGAGGGTTGAGGGTTGAGGGTTGAGGGTTGAGGGTTGAGGGTTGAGGGTTGAGGTTTGAGGGTTGAGGGTTGAGGGTTGAGGGTTGAGGGTTGAGGGTTGAGGGTTGAGGGTTGAGGGTTGAGGGTTGAGGGTTGAGGGTTGAGGGTTGAGGGTTGAGGGTTGAGGGTTGAGGGTTGAGGGTTGAGGGTTGAGGGGTGAGGGTTGAGGGTTGAGGGTTGAGGGTTGAGGGTTGAGGGTTGAGGGTTGAGGGTTGCGGGTTGAGGGTTGAGGGTTGAGGGTTGAGGGTTGAGGGTTGAGGGTTGAGGGTTGAGGGTTGAGGGTTGAGGGTTGAGGGTTGAGGGTTGAGGGTTGAGGGTTTAGGTTTGGGGTTAAGGGTTTCATAAGAAGGTTTGTCAAACAGGGGGGAGAGCGCTTTCTAAGTTGCGATGACGCGTGCTCAGCTTTTTCGCTGCCCCGCTTATCGTCCACGAGGCTGCGTTGAGGGCCTGGAGGCAACGTGCGGGTACTCGCATCACTTAGTGTTGGTTCGTAGGGAATGAGGGAATGAGGTACCCTATATAATCCTTTAAAGGGTACATATATGTATATGTATATGTATATATATATATATAGGGGGGGATATAGGGTACCTCCCTACTGACCAACAGTAAGATCAACAGCTAGTCGAGCCGTTCACCGTAAGAAAGCACGGCAGCAGTGACAGGACTCACATTGGCATCTTCTGATGTCCAGGCATAGTGAAGACACATTTTTCAGTGGCTAGAACAGGGGGATCCGAGAAACTTCATGCCAATCACGACCGCTCGAGATCGCGATAAACTTGCCGGATTCTAAAGATCTCCATCTTGGCATAGATCAAATGGGGGTTTACGATACTCGGGGTACCTTCTTGGGGTCCTTATGATGAGGGGATCCTACTGTTCGGGAGTCCATATTCGGGGTCCCTTATTTTCGTAACCCTAAACCCTAAACCCTAAACCCTTATCGTAAACCCCCAAATATCAAGCTCTACTTACACGATCGACATCGCCGTCACTCCAGGCGACGGGGAGCCTCGGCAAGGCAGACCGCGTACCCGCACGGCACAAGCTCAACGGCACAGGTTGAGGGTTAGGGGTTTAGGGTTTAGGGCTTAGGGTTTGAGGTTTAGGGTTTAGGGTTTAGGGTTTAGGGTTTAGGGTTTAG